AGTCTTGGCCGCTGATGGGATTACACGGCGCCAGGGGGCCAGGTGGTGGGTGTGACCCCCGCCTACTGGAATTTGGAGGATCTGGGTGGAAGATGCTCGACTCCAATTCGAGTAGGCTTGGAGGTCTCGGCCCCGGAACCCGCGTGGAGTGGTCTCAGCATGGTGGTGGCTGGTCCTGGAGGTGTGCGGAGAGTGGTCTCAGCATGGTGGTGGCTGGTCCTGGAGGTCTCCGGCTGCCGTAGCCCTGGCCGGGGCGGGGAGGAAAGCTCAACCCGCTCCCCTCCAAGGGACTCCGGGAAGGAACACCCAGGCGCGGGGCAGAAGACTGCACTGTTCTCATCCGGGATCTGGATTTTATAGTCTCTGAGTCTTGGCCGCTGATGGGATTACACGGCGCCAGGGGGCCAGGTGGTGGGTCGAATTGGAGTCGAGCATCTTTTTGTTGGTGAATATAGAAAATGTATTAATTTATATTAATTTATATAAAGTAAATTATATTAAATTATATTAAAGTATATTAATTTATATAAAGTAAAATAGGCATTCTTTAAATTTATATACATCAGTAGAAGGCTTAACAGGACAAATAGATGAAGTCTTGTTTTGTGATATATGTCAGGGTATATTTGGTAGTGTTTTTATTTGTTAATAAAAATTAAAATTGCATACCAAAAAAACTGCAACAAATACAATGACCAAGTTTTGAAGAGTCTAAAATAACCTGTTTTTGTTAAGATTTGGGAGTGGAGTACTTTGGGAATCCTGTTCTAAGATTGAATTGTTCAGTTCACACCCAAACTGCCAGGTTTTGGTAAGCTCTCCAGGGGCCTGTGAACAGAGGAGGGAAGGGAAGGCCCAGGAAGTGAGAGGCGGGACAACTGCCTTTGCCTGTGACTCTGTGGCACTCTGTGTCTCCTGCCGTGAGGGTCAGCTTAAGGTGCCTTCGGGCCATTGACCTGACCTAATGGATGCCTATAGCAGGGAGTGGCTTAGCCAAACCTTTGACTTAATGTCTTTCCCACTTCAGGTATCTTTTCTTACCTGAAAGGTCTCCATCCCAATTTCTAACCCTAAAATAGGAACCTGGCGCCATGTAATCCCATCAGCGGCCAAGACTCAGAGACTATAAAATCCAGATCCTGGAACCACGCGGCCGCATTCGCGGCCGCGCGACATCTTATCAGAACTTTTTTTTATGACATCTTATTGTTTCATTCCTACTTTGGACAAACTTGCAGGCTATCGAATGTAGCCTGCCCACAGGGCAGAGTCTGGCAAACTCCCCGTGGCGTACCAAATATGCCAAATACCAGTAACAATGATGGGTCTCATTCTCCTAAAGAGCCTTGAATATAATCTCTGGGCTAGGATGAAAGAGACGTTACTGGGGCCTGCTCGAGGCAATTGACGAATAACAGGATGATGAAATGAAAAAATGAAAAAAAATAGGAACCAAGCATTCAGAACAGGTGGGTCTTGGCTTTGCATTATTCTCAATGAAACTGCTGCCAAGCTAGGTGTAGCCTGTGATGGTTGTGTGATTTTAGTTTACATAACTGGAGAACAACAGACCAAAGTGTGTTGCACTCTTTTCCAACTTGTGAAAAATTAAAACTTAACTATATTAAGGGATGAATTTATGAGCATCTTTAATGTCATACATACAGAGAGACTTGTGCAAAACATTTTAATGATCTTCAGGCATGTTATAAACTTTTAATATTTCTCTTCTGTTTATAAATTGTCCACTTAGAAAAAACTATACATTAGACTGAATTGGTTTTTCTACCAAAGTACTTTGTACATAATGTTTCATGTATATATAATGTACTGAACATAAAAGTATTTCAGTGTCTTTTCTCAGACTTTGCTTGCAAATGTGTATTAAATTAAATTAAGCAATTTAGTTCTAGACAAGCTTCCTTTTATCTTTTTGTGTAATTCAGTAAATCATTAAGTGCCTTACAAATGACAAAATCTATTATTCTCTTTTTTTCCTTTTAAAATTGTACAGTATTTTGATATTTTTTTAATCAATTGAGATTTATTGATTAATTTTATATGCTTAGTGCTTTGCTGAGTATTATTATAGATATTAATGGAAATAATTAATGGTCCACCAGGAAGTTAATATTTAATCACTTAATCACTTAACTTCCCGTTAGTCGTCGATTTGCTCGAGCGGGCGCCAGTAACGTCTCCATTTGTCCCTGTCGCGTGCTAGTGTAGCCCAATGGCATCTCTTCGCTCCGGGAACATGGAGAGCCTCAAACCGATCGTTCATGACCTTGACAAAGAAGTCTGACCATCTGGTAGGTGGGCGGCCACGCAGTCTCTTGACATCCCGTGGAATCCAATCAGTAACAGCTCTAGTCCAACGGTCGTCTTTAAATCTCATTACGTGACCAGCCCATCTGATTTTCGACACCTTGGCAAATGAGACAGCATCCCTGATCCTTGATCGTCGACGGATATCAGAACTCCGGATTCGTTCTCTCATTTGAGTGAAACGTGATATTCCAAGCATAGCTCTTTCTATTCTTCTTTGGGAGACCTGAATGGCGTTCTCATCTTGTTTGCGTAGAGCCCAGGTCTCTGAGGCATATGTTAATGCAGGAAGAACAGTGGAATCAAAGAGATGTGCCCGGAGCCGGAGGTTCTTCGTCCTCTTAGCTATTTCTTCGACGTTCTTGAAGGCGTTCCAAGCCGCTCTCTTCCTCCTGCGCAGCTCGGGTGCCAGGTCATTTGTCATGTTGACCTCTCGACCTAGGTACACATAGCTGTTGCATTCGGAGATGGTCGTTCCATTGAGAGCGAATGGGGCGTCAGGAACAAGGCTGTTTCTCATAAACATTGTCTTCGTAAGATTCAGCTGTAGTCCTACCTTTCCACACTCACGGTCAAAGTCGGCCAGCATTTGTGCCGCTTGGCTGATGTTTGGTGTTATTAAAACAATGTCATCAGCAAAGCGGAGGTGGTGTAGTTGCCGACCATCTATCTTCACTCCCATTCCTTCCCATTCCAGTCGTCGCATGATGTTCTAATTTAATAGAAGAGAAATAAATTGATTATTAGACCATGCTAAAGTACTAATGCTATGAGGTGAGATTTGGAGTAGATCATAAAAGACGATGGTTACTTGATTTTGGAGACAGAGAGGGGAGTGTGTTAATGAACAAGAACTCAACTGTGAATACAAGTTAGGTGGAGAATGACAAGTTTTACCACTTAATAGGTCATTTTGTGTTTACATTGGGTATAAAGAAAAATAGAGAAAGGAGAGGGCCATCAGGAGTTGGGGAAATTTAGAATGGATGAAGTACACGTAAGGTGCTCACATCAGTTTCAGAGTGTATCAGAGCAAGGGAGAGATTTCATAGGAACTTGTAAAATTGAACTAGATAATAGCCTTCAAAGACTACCTGTGTCCTTTGACTCTCCAATTACGTTTTTCAGACCAGGGCTTACTGGTGTTGGTAAGGGCTTCTCTTGGCTGGGTTCGAGGGCTCTATGGGGTGCTGGTGATCAAACCCAGGCCGAACATGCGAGGCAGGTATCCCAGCTGCTTATCTCTCTAGCACATCTCCCCTCCCCAGTTACATTCCTGAGCCTTCTCTGCAGTGTCCCAGATGTGTGTGTGGTGGATGAAGTCATTGCAGCACTGTGACTTGTTTTTCTTTAATGTGTTCTTACTTCCTACTACTTTTCTTCTCCAAAGCTTGGTGGCTCCAGAATGGGTGATCTTCAAGCAGCCTGAAATAGTAGTCCCTGAAAGATCTGGGAGTCCTTGGAATTACAACGGATTCTTAATAGGGCATTGGGGGCTCTCTAGAACTCTAAGGGAGTTTAAGATAGGCTTCTAAAGTTCATAAACTTTCTGAAATTGTATGTAAAATTCCAGATAATGTGCATTTTCCTGGCCAAGACTTTTATTTCTGAAAAAAGTCTGTGGACACCCCCCCCCAAATTTATAACATAGCTTAAAATTTTCACTTGGGGCTGGAGAGGTAGTTAAGGTGTTAAGGTGATGGCCTTACACACAGCTGACCTCAGTCTGACCCCTGGATCACATGATTTCTTCTGAGTATCTCCAGGTGCATCTCTGGAGCCCCTGAGCATTGCCAAGGAGGCCCTGAGGCCTCTGAGTACTACTGGGGTGCCCATGTGACCCCCGGCCCTGCAGAGCTTAAGTACCACCGTGTCCTTGGCCCAGCATGAAACTTGTGCCCTGTATGGCCAGGAATTGCCAGGAGGGGCCCATAGACTCTTCATAACCAACTGGGAGGTCCCAAATTTTTACTTCCTGCAAACCTTATTTTTTTCTCTTCAAGACTGTTTTTCCTCTTCAAGACTTCAAGACCTAAGAAGAAAGAATACAGCGATTTGACACACCCGTGTACATATACACACACATCCATACACGTGCACTCGTATGATAGAGTATTAGTGGTATCTCTTTATGTGTTTAAGGTTCCGTAGTGGTAAAATAAGGACAGGGAAATAATAGAAAGAGAAATTTAAGCTATAGAAACCCCAAATGGTGTATGGGATAGTTTAAAAATGGTACACAAGTTCACACTGCTGACTGTTTGTTGGTTAGGGTCTGCCCGGAAATGAAGCTTCTTGGGCCCTGGCTGGCACAGGGTCCCCTGTACCCGGATGGATCCGCCTGGCACAGGGACGCCTTGTCCATCCTGAGTACCATGAGCATGGGGTGGGGGCAGGCGGGGGCTCATCTGCCTGTTTGCTCTTCCCTTTGCCATGCTGATAGGATTTTGTTTTTGTAAAATGATGTTTTATATGACCTTCATCAATACAGTCTGGGACTGAAACTTTGAGTATAGAAAGTCAAACTTATAAACTTTCTTAGAGGAGTTTGGATAACCAGGTTAGGTCAGGGTTTCTTTTTTGTTGATTTTCTCAGTATTCACTGTCTGTTTTCTGTTAACCTGAAAACAGGAAAATTAAGGGAACCTTTAATGTGTATCTCTGTTTTATAGGTTGCTTTCTGATTCTCAGCAGTTCAACCTTCTAGCGAAAGCAAGATTCAATATAAAGCAGAGGAAGTATGATGAAGCGGTAAGTAAGACAAGGTGGCCTTCTCTTCAGAAACTGCTGGTCATCATTTCGGGTGGGTGTGGGGAGGAATGGCCACGGAGAGCACTGTGAGAAGTCCAGGGAGTCCTCGGAAACCGCGGGACTTTGAGTGACTGTCACAGCCCTGGGCATTCCACTCTGAATAAACTTTCTAACATTAACATTAGAGATGCGCAGTTGCCGTTTTCTGTAATGAAAAAAATCTTGTCAAGTTTTGTCTCTCTAGGCTTCATATTATAGAGTAAGGCATATTTGTACATTTGGAATTACCTGCATTTTATCAGAGTTCAGTGATAATACTGAAGCTTCAGTTCTTCATAATGCGCTTTGGTTTTTATTAATCTTATGCTCATTAGGTGGTTATATAATTTTAAAATAGGAAATAATTTTGGTTTTGGCCTTTAAAATGCATAAGTTTTACCTACAGTGCTTATTTTCATTATGTTTTCAAAATGACATTTTTTCTCTAAGTTATTAAACTCCTGGGCTAGGGAGTGACTCCAGAGAAGAATGGAGTCACTTGAATGAGACCTGGCTGAATCGGATCAGAATTTCTGTGTTAGAGTATGATTTTTTAAAAATTTTTTTTAATTTTTGGGTCACACCCAGCACAGGAGTTACTCCTGGTTCAGGAATTACTCCTGGCAGTGCTCGGGGGACCACATGGGATGCTGGGAATCGAACCTAGGTCGGCTGCGTGTAAGGCAAACGTCCTACCTGCTGTGCTATTGCTCCAGCCCCTATGTTTTTTTTCAAATGTAGGTTTGATTCCCAACATCAACAAGGGAATAAGTTTTTTGCTAAATTTAAAAAAAAGAGCTTTAAAAATAATTTTTATAATTAATTTTGTATCTATGAAGGGTGAAAATTACTTAAATGTGAACTTCATTATTTGGCTCTATCTTTTACTTTCATTTCATTTCATTTCATCTTTCACATATCTTGTGAAGATAATTTTCACAACATTTTAAGTCATTGTACATAGCGAGAGCACAGCAGGTAGGGCATTTGCATTGCACATGCCCCACCTGTTCGATTCCTCCGCCCCTCTCAGAGAGCCCAGCAAGCTACCGAGAGTATCTCGCCTGCACGGCAAAGCCTGGCAAGCTACCCATGGCGTATTCGATATGCCAAACACAGTAAAAACAAGTCTCACAATGGAGACATTACTGGGCCTGCTTGAGCAAAATCGATGAACAGTGGAAGGACAGTGCTACAGTGCTACAGTACATACGATATACAGTTTACATTGAACATAACCTTTCCTGTAACTGTCACTGTCACTGTCCTCCCCAGCTCTGTACTCAGAGGTCACTCCTGTTAGTATTTAGGGGACCATGCAGTGCCAGGGATTAGACCAGGGCCTACAGCATGCAAGGCATGTGTTCCAGTCTTTTGAGCCATTTCTCCAGTCATAGAATCTGTTCTTTGATTTTTCAATTAATTTTATTTTTATTGAAGAATCTTATACATAAAACCTTCCAGCACCAGTCCTTCCGCCAGTGTCCACCATTGTCTGGTTGTCCACCCCATGCTCTTCCTCCCCTCCCCCTACAGTGATCTGCTCCCTACAAAAGACCAGTTCTCTGTCTCTGCTGCCTTTGGGTGTTCGTTATTTCCTCACTATGCTAAGATCTATTCTTGATGCAGTCTCTGCAGTTCACTCTATCATTTAATAATTTCCGTCTTCTGATAGGTTTATGCATTCTTCTCAAGTGGCAGGTTCTGTTTCTTCCCCTGTAGGTCTCCATCTGCACGGAGCTGATGCATCTTGCTTTGAAAGGATTGTCCTATTATCACACTTACGACAGATTGTTTTTGGCCTTCAACGTGGTTCTTGGTTTTGTGGGATGGGCCTCCTACGTGTCATTGTTGGTCATCAAGTCTCATTCCAGCTTTGCCAGAGGTGTTAAGAAAGAAGTTAAGGTAAGTTCCGAACATATAATGAAGATGCAGGTCATCTGTGTATTCACTAAGAACAAGGAAACTGCACCAGATTAAGTCTAGTAGTTCAGACAGTGCAATTCATTGTATTCCGTCCTTACCCTCTCATTTATCTCTTTATTTAGATGGAAAAAACATTGTATACTGTTGATTCAGAAACTTAAGAGGTCTTTAAAGATAGCTAATATAAACTTAAGTTTTCTGTTGGTGTTAATTTTCTGTTCTTTTTTCATAAGTGTTCATTTAATGTAAGTATTCCATATTATTATAGAGCAGATGACCAGAAGCCACTTCAGAACAAGTGTAGGAGCAGGAAAGTGATTAAAAAAAGAAAAGAAAGAAAAAGAAAAAAGAACTTATTTCAGAATGTCGTGTGTGTGTGTGTGTGTGTGTGTGTGTGTGTGTGTGTGTGTGTTTTGGGTCACACCCGGCATTGCCCAGAGCTTACTCCTGGCTTTCTGGCTCATGCACTCAGGAATTACCCCTGGCGCTGCTCAGGGGACTATATGGGATGCTGGGAATCGAACCCGGGTCAGCCGCATGCAAGGCCGCATGCATCCCTATACACTGTGCTATCGCTCCAAGCACCAAAATGTTCATTTTTAACTATATGTTTTTCTAAAACTATTCTCAACCTTTCAATTTTCAAAAAATAAGTGGGAGGGCCACACTCAGTGATGCTTTGGGGCTTTTCCTGGCTCCGTTCTTGGAGGTCACTCCTGAGGTTTAGGGCATCATGCAGGAAGCAGGGCAGGTGTGCCAGCCCAGTGAGCAATCTCACTAGCCCCAAGTTTCAAAAGTTCTCAATTCAGTTTCCAGAACTTTCTGTTTACCCTCTAGTTTACTGTCCTTTAAGTGAATAATATAAAACCTTCCACAATAATGCTTCATATAGCTGAGAAAATATGATGGTACATATATGGTTTTACTACATTAAAACACTTTAGTCTTTTAAATATATTGCAGTCATTTACCAGGGAGATTATGCCACTTTACTTCATCCTCTCTAATGATTATTACTATATCTAAATCTTCTAAAACGCAATCTATCTGGATGGTATATTACTAAGAATAATAGTCTGCAAACATTTCCAGTGGTAACTTTCACAGATTTTATATTTTATTTTTCTGTAATGAAAGGAAGAACAGTAATGCTCATTCCAATATTTTATAGCTTTTAATGCATCTTAAATAACTTCCCCAAGTAATTTTCATAATTTGAATAATTTCTTACATGGTAGGAGACAGAAAGAACAGTGTTTCAGTAATGGATATATATAGGCATACTGCTGGGTACTTGAAATTTATTTTGCTGTTTTCATCTCAGAGCAGTGTGGAACTAAGCATTGTAATTTATGTTTACAAAAGAGGAAGGTAAACCTGAGGGGCTTTGAGGAACTTGTTAAGGTTCCCTTATCAGCTAGGATATGGAGAACTTGAGATTTGAACCGAGAACACTCTTTGGCCAAGTACTATCGTGTGTGTGTGTGTGTGTGTGTGTGTGTGTGTGTGTGTGTGTGTGTGTGCCTGCCAGAGAAAACACTTGGCAGTACTTAGGACTTAACTCCTAGCTTTGTGCTTTGGGATCACTTGTGGCAGGGCTTAGGGGACCATATGAGATGCTGTGGATCAAACCCAATCTGCTGCATGCAAGACAGGCACCTTACCCACTATACTATCTTTCTGGACCGTTACTATTCCATGTGTATCTCAATGTTTGGGTTACTGAGAAAGGGTATGTCTTTGGATTGCTGTGTCATCGGCATATTTGATAGTTTGGTAGTTTTTTACTGGCTAATCTGGTAATTGAATGTATAGTATAATTTTAGAAATTTCATAGGTCCTATAAGAAATAGAAAATTCACATTCTGCCTCCAGCTGCTTAGACTTAAAGACGGCAAAAGGTAGATAGACATAATCATCTTGTCAGATAAAAGTCATTGCACTATGCTACATTGCAAGAAACGTCTTTAATGTTTCGTGACTGTAATATGTGTTCATTGTCTGGTTCTAATATCAAAGACTCACCTTAAAGAGAGCACACTTAGGGTGATATAACATGTAAGCCTTAGTAGAAATTTAAGTCAGTTCATGGGGAGAGGATGAGAACTAGGTAAAAAATGAATAGCATGAAAATAGCAAATTGGGGAAAATATATTATTTTCTGGGACAACAAGTAATTCTTTTTTTTTTTCCAAATCATTTTTTATTATTATTATTTTTTTTTTTACAGTTGTAGATTTACAATTTTTTGTGCTTGGGTTTCAATTATACAATGATCAGATACCCATCCCTCCACCAGTGCCCGTTTTTCATGGATACTATCCCTCCCACCCCCATCCCCCCATCCCCCCCTGCCTCTGTGGCAGGGCAATCCCCTGTGTTCTCTCTCTCCGTTTGGGTGTTGTGGTCTGCAAAAGAGGCATTGAGTGGCAAACATGTTCAGTCCATAGTCTACTTTCGACATGCATCTCCCCTCCTGGGAGGATCCTCCAAACATCCTTTATTTGGTGCTCCCTTCTCTATCTGAACTGCCCTTTCCTCTAGGATACCCGGCTGGCCTCTAAGTTATGGAGTAATCATCCTGGTGCTGATCTCAGCTATTCTTGGGTATTAATCTCATACTTTGTTACTTTATATCCCCCAGATGAATGCAATCTTTCTATGTCTATCCCTCTCTTTCTGACTCATTTCGCTTAGCATGATACTTTCCATATTGTACCACTTGACAACAAGTAATTCTTATTGCACGCCACTATTCCAGAATTATCTTGGATACTTTATATGCATCACTCATTTAAGCTTAACATTTTCTTTGTGGAAATACCAGTGTTAAGTAGCAGAAATAATATTTTATTACACATAAATCCACACTCTTTCTACACTAAGCTGCCCTCAAAATAAATAGTTCAATTTGGGTAGACAGTGAAAAGTTTGTTCAAAGTACTGAAAAAGTAATACTGACAATGTAGATTAGGTTGCAGTCATCAAAGGCCTAAAAGCTAGCCTACAGAGTTTTAAAAAATTAGTATGGTGTCTGTATTCAAAGATTTAGTGTTCCCTCCCTCCCCTCCCCTCCTTTCTCCTTTCCTTCTTTCCTTCCTTCCACAAGAGGTGGGGGTTGATGGAATGGGTTGAGTGCTAGCAACCAAGAGATGTGATGTTCCAGCCTTGCATCTCTATGACCCACCAGGGGTCCGGTTGGTGCTAGGGCCTCCAGGAATACACCTAGTGAGTACATGGAGTTCTTAAATCACATCTACTAAAAAATTTTGACAGTAGCACCTAGATTAGCGCTGATTGAATAATTGGGAACTATAGCCTGGCCGAGTTGACACATAAAGCTGACCATTAAAGCTGAGGTCGTTAAAAGTAAGTTGAACTATTCGGCTTCAGTTGAAACAGCATTCTGATTCCTCTGCACCAAAAGTATAGAATCTAGTAAAGGAAGTCCTGAAGGAGGCCTTCCGGTTATGGAGCATTGACTGAAGGTAGAGATGGAGAGCTTTTTGGAAACTCTAGTTTCCTGGGCACTTATTGGAATGGGATCCTGCAGCTGAAGTGGTGAGGTGGTTCACAGAGGAGGTTATTGCCACAGAGACATTTTAAAGGGGGAGCAGGATAACGCAGAACATGGCGTGTGCTGAAGGAGGCTGTGGGAAGAGCATCAGGCCCTGGTCTAGCTGACTTAGAGGGCCGGTGAGGAGGAAAAGGACCATTAGTGTGTGTTGCTAGATAGGAAACAGGTTCACACAGGCAAATTGATCAGTAAGGGAATGGCAGCCCTGGAATTACATTTAGGTCTGACTACAGAGTTTATGGTACTTGTACCCCATCTTGTATCAAGGTGGTTTCTAAGCCATAACCATCACACGCAGTCTTCAATGAATAGTCGCTTCCCATTAAATATAATTTGCTGCAACTCCTTGTTGAACTCTGCATTTATCCCCTAGAAGATGTGCTTTTCCTTTGCTTTTGCTAAGTCTGATATCTTTTGCTTCAGAACAAAATACTAATTTTGCCACATGCTTTCTTTTGTTTTCTTGGTACCTAGATAAATCTCACAGTACCAATCCCTTAAACCATATTCATATTTCTGTCTCTACCTGTCTGGCTTAAAATTCTTGAGTGCCAGCACCTGCTGTAAGTTTAAAAGGTTTGCTGGATAAAGGAGTTATCACAGTGCCCATGGCATATAATAATCTGGATGGGGATGGTAAGTAAATTTACAACAAAGTAGAAAGTGTTCCCAATTCTTGTAACTTCATGTCCTTTCTATTTTTTTCAGCCAAATCAACTTCTTTGTTTTCAGTTTCTTAAAAATACATGTCCTTTATAAATGCCTACTATATGTATGGGCTGGAGTGATAGCACAGCAGTAGGGCGTTTGCCTTGCACGCAGCCAGCCTGGCTGAGCTGGGTTTGATTCCTCCACCCATCTCGGAGAGCCCGGCAAGCTATCGAGTGTATCTCGCCCGCTTGGCAAAGCCGGCAAGCTATCCATGATGTATTTGATCTGCCAAACACAGTAACAACAAGTCTCACAATGGAGATGTTACTGGGCTCACTCGAGCGAATGGATGAACATCAGGAGGACAGTGCTACAGTGCCACTGTATATTAAAGAACTAGGTAATTCCACCCTACCTTATTATGAATGGATTCTTTGGTTTTTGTTCCGGCAGTGATTTGGGGTTACTCAGCTCTGTGCTCAGGAGTCGTTCCTGATGGCAGTAGGGTGGTTATACTCTGTCAGGGATTGAGCCTGGGTCTTCTACATGCAAAGCATGTGCTCAGCCGTGGAGCTGCTTCTCCACCTTAGTTAGGAATCCTTTAAACCTTATTTTACTCTTCTGTAAACGATGTAAACATCCTCCTCTCTCACACTGAATACTGCTCTGACTGCCTTCAGCCTGGGGGTTCACCTATCGATACGTGTTTGAATTTGCTGTTCTCCCGCGCCCTTTCTACGGACAGATTTCCGTTGGACTTCTGGGGCTAATACAAGGAAGTGCGAGAGGGTAGACACTGAACATAAAAATAACGGTCACAATTTATTAAATAGTAATAATATTCTGGCCATTTTGTTAAGATTTTTGCTTAATATTTAGCGAGTGTCTCCAGCCATGACAAATCGATATGGAATTTATTCGTCCTACGTTATAGGGGAGGTGAACTTATCTCAGAAAGAGTTTTGCGAATGGTCATACAAGTGAGCAAATGACACAACCTGGCTCAGAAATCTGCCCTGAGCAGCCCCAGACTGCCCAGTGCTACATTTCGCTTGACCTTCCGTTTTGCTGCTCTGCTCCCGTTTATCCTTGTTTCTTACTTCCTTTATGCTGATTTTTCATACCAGTAGACAGGGGTTATTAAAAAGGATGCAGCTCTCTTGTTTTTCTTTTTCTTTTCTTTTTCTTTTCGGGTCACACCCTGCGATGCACAGGGGTTGCTCCTGGCTCCAGCCCCTCTCTTGCTTTTCTACCCGAACTCCCGGTGCTCCTGAAAAATCCTCTTTCACTTTGGTTATCAAAGTCGGGGGAAGCAGAGGGAGTGAGGAGCTGAGCCCTGCTTTACTCCCCACTCTCTGTTACTTGCCCTCTGCTGTTTGCAGTCGCAGCTTTCCAGAGCTGTGCTTTCCCCAGCCTTGGAATCTCTCTCCTTCACCCAGGTCATTCCTCCCGGGAGCACCCTGTTCCGTGGAGGCCCTCGTTGATGGCTTGGATGGGGAGTTCCCTTCTCGGAGCGGAGGAGGCTGCAAAGCCGAGATGCAAAGATGCGAAGACGCTATGTGGTGCTGAATAAGCCCACAGTGGTGGGGCAGAGAGGAAGCCTGGTTTGAACTTGAAATAGACAGAAGCCTCATAGCCGGCCAAGATTAAGTCCCCTCATTTCTTCAGGATAAATAGACTATAGTGGACTAGTCAATGTAAATTAGTGAATTCAATTCAAAAGAAATCATTGCTGAGGAGAAATATGGTACAATTGCAAATAAGCTTTGGTCCCACAAACTTGAGGAAATTAGTGACTTTTAAATTGAGAATTATGGGGCTGGAGTGATAGCACAGCGGGTAGGGCGTTTGCCTTGCATGCAGCCAACCCAGGTTTGATTGCCAGCATCCCATATGGTCCCCTGAGCATCGCCAGGAGTAATTCCTGAGTGCAGAGCCAGGAGTAACCCCTGTGCATTGCCGGGTGTGACCCCCTCCCAAATAAATAAATAAATAATAAATTGAGAATTACCTGCTTGAAAAAGTTATGGATTATTCAGTTTATTCTTCTGTAGTATGCTTCTCTAATGGCAGTTTGCTTTTGAATGCAATTTGTAGATTAGCCATCTAGTCGCCAAACCCCAGGAAGCAATATGTTCTATTCACTTGAGAAAACATCTTTTAAAAGTACTGATTCTCATGGGTCTGGGTGTATTTCAGTGTTGTGTTTGATTTTCAGAAACCAAGCCTTCTCCTGCCATATAGTTTTGTGGTTCTCGGCGGTTTTGTCACAGTTTTCCTGCTGATTCAGTCCTGTCCCTGGACATATTACGTGTACTGCTTGTTGCCGCTGCCAATATGGTACGCAGTTCTAGCAGAGTAAGTGACACCCCTTACAGTCTTTTGTGTTGCGTTGCGCTGACAGTTAAATGTACGGTTAAAAGTATTAACTTATTGGAGCCTAAGTGCGTCCTTCAAGATACTTAAAATACCTTCAAATCTCCAATTCCCTCTCTTCATTTACAGCATAAACAGCTGAATACCCCATTTGATTCATTATTTGTTATCCTGGGGAACTTTTGGCTTGTTCTCTTGTCTAGTATCTTTAATAAGGAAAATCGGGAGCAAAGCACTGTCATTGGACGATGCCAGGGGCAGCTTGTTTCACCTTTTCTCCTCAGCTCACAGCCCAGCGTGTCTTCCTGCTTCACACAGAAATGTGCATGCCTTCTTCCCGTGCTTTTTCCCCATCTAGGCATTGTGTGAACCAGATCAGGGACATTTTGCAATCAGCTCGAGTGAACAGAGATTAGTGGAGGTACATAGGGGCTGTGAATTTTTGGCGATGCTCAGGGGTTACTCCAGGCTCATGCACTCAGGAATTACTCCTGGCGGTGCTCGGGGGACCATATGGGATGCTGGAAACTGAACCCGGGTTGGTGGTGTGCAAGGCAAATGCCCTACCCACTGTACTATCGCTCCAGCCTGGGGCTGTGAATTTAAGTACTTCCTCGGTCTGGCCTTTCTGGCCTTTAAAACTTAAGCTTTTTGGTTTTGTGTGTGTGTGTGTTTTTTTTTTTTTTTTTTGCTGACCCCTGGCTCTAGATGGTCTAGATGGTCTCTCCACACTCTGTGGAATGACCCCCAAGCCCAGAGTTGGAAGTCGCCCCCAAGCCCTGGCAGGTGTGTCCCCCCACAGAAACAAAAACAAAAACAAATGAAAATTCTCCAATTAATAGAATTATTGACTATTTTTGTCTTAATCTAGTCACAAAATATTTTTACTTATTTTTCTCCTGGGAGCAGTCATTTCACTGTGATTACACCCGGCGATGCTCAGGGGTTACTCCTGGCTCTGCATTCAGGAGTTAATCCTGGCGGTGCTTGGGGGATTGTATGGACGCTGGGAATTGAATTGGGGTTAGTACGTGCGAGGCAAATGCCCTACCTACTATACTATCACTCCGACCCTGGTTTTTTGTATTGTTTTGAGCCTGACCCTGTGTGCTCAGTCATTAGCCCTTGCCCAGTGCTTGGCAGGGGTGGGGGGTGCCTCATGGTTTTGAGGATCAAACCCAGGCCTCCTGGTGTGAAGCACGTGCACTAACTCTTTAGACTCACCTCAGCCCCTAAATGGAATCCTCGAGCACCTTAGAGGTAGAGCTTTCAGGTGAGAGTCAAGTTTTCTCAGAGAGAAGTATCATGAGAAACTTCATGAGAGTATCATGAAGGTCAAGCCACACGTTTTGTTCATTTCCTCATCTGTGCTTGTGAGCTAGACTCGAATGTCTGGGATGATCAAGCCTCGGATGAGAAAACTAAGCCCTGAAAGCAGAAGCAGACCAGGAAGACCAGGCGAGAGCCAAAGGGTGTCTGGGGTGTCTTGTCATGATACACATTATAATTGTTTTTACATCTCTCTTCTATCCCTTAAAAACAGGAAGTATTAAGCAATAAGATAGAATGGGAAAAAACTGATGAAAGAACACACCATTACCCCTTTATCGTTTGGAAGGAATTGGACTGCGTGCTCTCTCTCTCTCTCTCTCTCTCTCTCTCTCTCTCTCTCTCTCTCTCTGTATAATATGTCTATACACATATGTTATATTAGCTATTATTGTCATTTTTTTAATAATCTGTGAACTGAAAGTTCCCTGATTCAGAGCTTTGCATAATTCTTTTACCACCTATGACTTAATTTTTTAAATTCAGGAGTATAATCCTTTAATATGTAACCTTGTTCAACAGATTTCAAGTCATTCAAGACCTTTTCTCATCACTGCTGACCTTTTCTCTGAGTCATTTTGTTGGCTCCCTGTTAGTCTTTGCCCTGGGGATTGAAGTATTAGTAAGTAATTTGCCATTTCAAAACATTTTTCCAGTCTCTTTCGTACATATTTATCTCCCTTTAAATGACCTGATTTTTCTTTTCTTCCCTGAACCGTGTTGCTAGGTTCTGAGTTTTTTCCACCGCCACGTGCTCACCGTGGGCCTTACTGCGTTTGCGGGCTGGCCGTTCATCACACAGCTGTGGACTCGAGCAAAGGTAGAAGTACTTGATCGTGACGTTGAATGGATTAATAGCTACTTAGTTTGGGTGTGTGTTCAACTCTGGGAATTACTCATTTTTAAAGAGCAGGGTAGAATGTATCTTGACATAAAGAGCCCAGGGCTTTTGTCTGAGTGCCGAGACTACCTTTGAGATTTCAGAGGTTCACTTTATGCTTAATGCAGTGATCCTTGGAAAACCAAGGAAGCAGAGTTAATGAGATTTTCAGTATTGTGTAGATTCCTGCATCTGAATGATGGGGCAGTAGGGAACAGCCCTTAGCAAGAGCATCCAGTGACCTGAGGGCCCCGTGCTGAAATCCAAAGGCCACTGGGAGGAATCAGGTGCCCTCCTGAGCGGACCATCTCACTTACTTGTCTGGGAAAGTATGTAATCATGATAGATGATTTGAAAACATAGTTATGTATGATTTTCTTCCTCTGTGTAGGAAATTATAGTCTTGTTTCCACATAGAGTCTTTTGATGAAGGAAGCAGAAAGACATATCTCTTCTTTTCCCATTATGAGAATTTATGAAACTCTCCCGTTAGGACCAGAGAAAGCTCCAGAGTCTGAACATATGCTTGTATGCAGGAGGCTGACCCCTGGCTCACAGATTCCACTCTGTGGAATGACCCCCAAGCTCTGGCAGGTGTATTCCCCACAGAAACAAAAACAAATGAAAATTCTCCAATTAATAGAATTATTGACATTTTTGTCTTAATCTAGTCACAAAATATTTTTATTTATTTTTCTCCTGGGAGCAGTCATTTCGCTGTGATTATAGCCCAGCTTTATTATAGCTACGATGGATACATGGTACAACAAACTGAATGGTGGGCTGGAGAGATCGAAAAGGTGCTTGCCTTTATGTGGCCAAGCCAGGCTCAGTCCTAGACTCCCCGTGTGGACCCCTTAGCACTGCCAGGAGTGACCCCTGGACACAGAGCCAGGAGTAAGCCCTTGGCATGGGCCGGGTGTGACTCCAAAGCCAAAGCAAACAAAATCAGACTTGGGTCTCAGTAGCTGTCAAAATTTGCTAGCATAAACATACTGTTATTTATACTTAGACACCTCTGAGTTAGTTTCTTTATCTGAAATATTGTTAAAAATATAACTTCGATCTTCGGTTATGATGAGTATTAAGTGAGGTAATGTTTATATTATGCTCAACACAGCGCCTGCAACAGAATGGGTCCTTCGTTTGTAGAACAGGATGGTAGCAGCATTTCTTTTTGTTTATTTGTTTGTTTGTTTTGGGGGGGTGACACCCTGTGATGCACAGGGGTTGCTCCTGGCTATGCACTCAGGAATTACTCCTGGTGGTGCTCAGGAGACCATATGGGATGCTGGGAATTGAACCTGGGTCGGCCACATGCAAGACAAATGCCCTACCCGCTGTGCTATCGCTCCAGCCCCCAGGTAGCAGCATTTCTTTGTAAGAAGGCAGGTGCAGGATTTGCATTTCATTTCCATGGCAGTGTTGTCTGTGATACACTGTGGACAGTTCTGTGGCACGTGTTTGTCTAACGGAAAACTCTTCTTTATTTCAGAGCACCTCACTGAGTTGGATTGTCTTCTGTTTGCTCCTGGCCGTGTTCCCAATGATGCCTGTTGTAGGACGAAGCCCAAATATCTCTGTAGTGTATGAATGATATTTTAACTCATTTCCTTTTTTAAGACATTTGTTTTTCTCATCAGTACTGTGAAATATGAGCCTAATTGTAGTCATGAGTTTAAAAATCATGATAACAAAGTAGAAGTTAAAGTACTAATGCCAGTCATAATTCCTCTCTCTCTCTCTCTCTCTCTCTCTCTCTCTCTCCCTCTCTCTCTCTCTCTCTCTCTCTCCCGCCCCTCACACACACACACACACACACACACACAGATGCCAAATAATGATAAAATTCAAAACAAAAGTGTTTGGGATTTGGGAAATTAGTGAAAGGTTTCATATAAAAAAAGTTTCTCTTGCACAAAGAGAAAGATAAAAGCCAGTACCTATATCCTTGTCTCAGAGTGCCCCTGCATTAAATGTCCTTTAAAAAAGAAATTCTCTCCTGTTGTAATCTGGTTGTAAAGAGCTCCATGGGAGGAAACCTCATGTACCTTGGCAACTTCCCCGTGCTGCGTTGTTTAGAACATTCTGTGCATCTTATCTGAATGCTTCGTGCTTTCCTATACCCCAGTATATCTGTAAAACAGTTAGCTACCCCCTCTTTCAGAGTTGCTGTTAAATTATTAATAAGTAATCTTGTTCTCTGTGTGTCTACATGGACTAAATGTGTTATTTAACATTTCTTCTCATTTTCTAGTCTTGTAATCATCTTTGTTATTTATTTTAGCAAATAGATAGAGGTTTATTTTTCTTTGGGGGGGAGGGATATTCATGGCAGTGCTTCGGTGGGGACCATGTGGTACAGGTAATCAGGCCTGGGGTTTCCACATGGTGGGAACTTTCTGCTTGGCTGCAGAGTTCTTTCTCCCCCAGCCCCCGCCCCCGCCTCACCCTTTGGTTCACCAATTTTAATGGAGCCAAATGATTATACAGTAAAAGTTAATAAACATTCACACAAAAACCAAAGTGTGTATATATATATGTGTATATATATATATATATATATATATATATATATATATATGGCTTTTTGGATCACACTGACAATGCTTAGGGGTTATTCCTAGCTCTGCACTCAGGAATTATTCCTGGCAGTGCTCAGGGGACCATATGGGATGCCAGGGTCAAACCCAGATTGGCCGTGTTTAAGGCAAATGCCCTAGCTGCTATACTATCACTCTGGCCCAAAGTATAACTTTCTTGACTAAAACATGTTAATACACAATTTTAATATATTGTTTAGTTTATGTGTTCACTTTAAAACATTTGATCTCATTTCTGTGAGAATTCCGGTATAGAATGGATCAGGAATTATTCCAGTTTATTAGTAGAGCCCAAATTAATTGCACTGAGTGTTCAGTTCGTATTTACCACCATACTGGCTTGGTATCATTAAGGACATGGAGTTGTCTTAGCTGTCAACCTGGTGTCAGGTGGATTCAAGCAGACATTTCCACTGTTTCCATGAGACATGTTGTTCTCGGTGCTCTTCTGTTATCTTTGGAAAACTCTGTCCCCCCTTCTGGCCTGTTTGTCCTGCTCCAAGTCCGTCGATAAAGTTGAGCAGATTTTATCCTGGTGCAAAGGAAAGAAGTATCTCCAGGGAAATTTGCCACCCCTGTAGTCTATTTAGGATTAATGCATCAAGCAAATTTACTAAAACATGAGAAATTAATTTGTATTAATAAAAGTTATGTTGTTTCTTCATTTAAAATTCCTGTGATTAAAGTTTTTGTTGTTTCCCAGTAGCTATATTTGCAGTTTTATCTTGAATCTGTTCAGAGAGAAATTTCTGCTCTCCCTTGGTCTCTCCCTTTTTATTTTTTTTATCACAAAAATATGTGAAATGTTTAAGATAAAATTTAAGGATAAGGCAAAGTTGTTTATAACAACTGTAATGTCCCTAATTCTCTAGTTCTCTAAAACAAAAGTGTATTTTCTAATTCGTTTAAAAAAAAAACAACAGTATTTTAAAAAAGGAAAGTGAAGGGCCTGGGAGATCAGTTGAAGGCTGGAGGACTTATCTGCAGTCCTCAATGTCCTGAGTTTGATGTCTGGCGTTTGGGGCCCCCCGGCCCCCAGGAGCACCCCGAACACCAGTTGGTGGCCCCTGAGCCCTGCTGGGTTGGCTCAGGTGGTCCCCAGCACCGCTGACCTTAGCAGCCCCACTGTCCTGGTCTGAGCGATGACCCCTTCGACTCACACAGCTGGGATGGTGTCTGGGCATGTCCCAGTCCCTGGGCACTACTTGGGAGGTCCCAGCCAAACTTTGCTTTTTTTTAATTAAAAAAAAATGCAAAGAAAAACAAATGATGTTCCTACAGCAGCTGGTTTTCATATATTTTGATAACCCACATTGAGTGTGTAACTGTCTCCCCCCACCCACGATTCTCGCGGGAGCTTTAAAACAAAACGAGCATTTTCCGAGGAATCCTCCTTTGTGGCCTCCTTAGCCCTGCCGTTTGCTCACTCTTGTTTCTTTTAAACCAACTCTTTTTCTCTTGGTGGCGTTATTGCTAGTTTTCAGATTCTGTCCTCAACATAATCTCAGTGGTTCTCGATGTGACGTTGATTTTTAAGAGGTGAGAAATAGAACTCTACATTACTACACCATTGCCTTGGTAGCAGTTTCTTTCAAATCCAGGACCGTACTATACTTGGTGCTCCAGGTGAGAATTCTTTGGTTTTTAGTCCTTTTACACAAACCTCACCTGCCTGCTGCCTTTGCGATTGTGGTTTACCCTCTGAGCCAGGAACAGTGATCGGAGAAGGGAGTTCTGCTGCAGATCCCTTCCGAATGAGTGAATGCTCATAGTCAGAAAATACATGTGGCAGATACGGATGTGTTCGTTTTGCCACATTTCATATTTTTTCTATGACTCTGTCCAATTCATGCGCGGTATTATAGTATTTATAACAACTGTAATATCCCTAATTAATAAAAATGTTAAAAAATATCATGAGAATTTTTCAAATAGCCTCATCCTTGCAGTATCTTCATCTGAGAATTTTTCCATATTACATTGTGTGTCCACTATAGCGCGTCATCTTGATTCAGTAAAGTAACTGGGAGGTTCTACATTAGAGTGAGATGCCTAAAGTTTTCATGTGATATGCACCCAGTAAATATCTTAAGACAGTTTGAAATTGTGCATTCCCTTTTGAAACAGGATGGGCGCGGGCTTGCTGCTTTTACTGATCTCCCTGTTTGTTGTCACCTCGCTCAGAAGAAGACTTGGTTTCGTCAGTGAACAGCTGCTTCTATATTTTATGCAGGTCAGTGAAAGATTTTCAGCACTACTTTATACTAATGTTTCACGAATCACAACCATCCTGTTATTCGTCGATTGCCTCGAGCAGGCCCCAGTAACGTCTCCTTCGTCCTAGCCCTGAGATTATATTCAAGGCTCTTTGGGAGAATGAGACCCATCGTTGTTACTGGCATTTGGCATATTGGGTATGCCACGGGGAGTTTGCCAGACTCTGCCGTGTGGGCAGGCTACATTTGGTAGCCTGCCAGTTTGTCCAAAGAAGGAATGAGATAATAAGAAGTCATAAAAAGAAGTCATGAAAAGCTTTGTCCCTCTGCCAGTACCTTCATGTGTACGGAGAGTGGTCTCAGCATGGTGGTGGCTGGTCCTGGAGGTCTTCAGCTGCCGGAGCCCTGGTCGGGGCAGGGAGGAAAGCTCAACCCGCTCCCTTCCAAGGGGCCCCGGTGAGGACAGCCAGGCGCGGGGGCAGGAGACTGCACTGTTCTCTTCTGGGAGCTGGTTTTTATATTCTCTGAGTCTTGGCCGTTGATGGGATTACACGGCACCAGGGGGCCAGTTGGTGGATGTGACCCCCACCTACTGGAATTTGGAGGATCTGGGTGTAGGATGCTCGGCCCCAATCCGAGTAGGCTTGGAGATCTCGGCCCCGGAACCCGCGTGGCTTTGTCCCTCTGCCAGGGACATACTAATGTTTAACCCCCCAAAAATGTATTTTTGTTTTTGGGTCACATCCAATTGTGCTCAGGGCCTACTGGCAGTGGAACTTTGGGGGAAGAATTTTTTTTTTTATGGTTGTTTGTCATCATTATTCTTAAACACAGAGCAGAACTGTGTTTACTCTGCATGTGCCAGCTGAGAACTACGTTTTCTATTTAAAATATTATATGGAAATATATTTTCAAAAGGGTGTAAAATAGCAAAGAGATTGACAAAGAGAGCTCAGAGGGGGCTGGAATGATAGTACAGCAGGTAGGGTGTTTGCCATGCACGAGGCTGACCCGGGTTTGATCCCTGGCATTCCATGTGGTCCTTCGAGCACTGCAAGTAGTAAGTAACTCATTCCCGAGTGTATGAGCCAGGAGTAACCCCTGAGCATCACTGGGTGTGACCCAAAAAGCAAAGAGAAAAAAAAAAAAGAAGATAGCCCAGAGATGCTGAGGGAGCAGGGATTAAGGAGATTGAAGGCTGATCAAAATGTGTCTTGATTGGGGGCTGAGAAAGATGTCCTCAGGACTGAAATGCTGTGTCTCCCCTCTTGGAGAGGAGATAGATCAGCTTCAGAGTGAGGGCGGCTTCTGAGTACAGTTATGTGGAGAACAGCCCGGTTAAGAATTCAGATGAGCATCCTCGGAAAAAATACACTTCACCTTGCTGCTTCCCTTTGGTCTGCTGAAAATATCTTTGAACCTGACATTTTGAAATGGAGTCAAGTCCCAGTCACGCTGCGTAGTAGTTGTGTTATTTTCAGTAATACAATTCCAGTCTGTTTGTTTTGAATCTGTAGAGATAGTATCTAATAGAGTTAGGAGAATTGGAGTTACATAATGTAATATCAAATTCTGTAAAGTGATACCTTTTCTGTAAATAAGAATGAAAACCCATTTTTTTCTTTTAAATCATAAAAGATGAAAAAAATCAATCTAAAACATGACAAAACAGAAATTTTATGAGTCTTCTAAAATATTTCCTTAGAACAAAATTGAGATAATGTAGTATTTCCAAGAAAACTCTGAAATAAAAATATACAACATTTATAAGATGCCAATTTATTCTTGGAGAACTACAGAGAATATATAAAAGGAGAAGAAATATTTTATGAAAGAACTGTCAAGCCATTGGAACATATCTTTCTTTTTAGGTTTCATACTAGCTGGCTTTAATTTAATTAATCCCCGAGTAACTATAATAGAATTCATCTCTAATAATGAATACTTTGACAGAAGGGAATGTTTCTGAATCTCACTCTGTGTGAGCAAATGACTTGTTAAAATTCTTCTGGACTTTATTAGAAATACTCCTGAGTTTAAGGTAAATCTGTTTTGAAATTCCTTTTCCATAAATTTTACAATTTGCATTTATTCCTCTACTTTATATCATACGTTTTATTGATGCCACAACACATTTCTTCGCATTTTAACAATCTGAAATGTGAATTAGAATGTGAAAAGATCCTAGGACAGTGTATTATAACTTTATTGGCTGCATTTTTTCCCCTTAGTTCACTAAAAATTTAGTTCATCTATCTCTAGGATTTGGTGAGGTTGTCATCAGCTCTCTGGAAAAGTTTGCTTCTTTATGACTGTAGCTTTTCTTAAAATGGTAATGAACCGACTAAGTTCAGCAAAATGTTTTACTTTTTGCTTTTTTCAGTTTGGGGGTGACACCTGGCAGTATTTAGACTTATTCCTGGCTTTATTGACTCCTGGTGGGCCTTGGTGGGCCATATGGGGTACTGAGGGCTGAACTTTGGTCAGCTGTGTGTAAGGCAAATGCTTTCCCAGCTATGCTCTCTCTCCGGGCCCAGCAGATTCTTAAGAGTCAGATTGTAAATATTTTAGACTTGTGCTCAGAGGGATTTAGTTGTAAAATTTTAGCCCTACCGTTGTAATGTGAAGGGAGCATTACATGGAAATGAACTTGAGTGGCTAAGTTCCCATAGAAAAGGTATTGCTGTTAAGTGACCAACAGCCTCTGCGCCATGCTTGGCCAGTCTACACTAATTTATGTACCTTTCCTGGAGAATATTGTACTGTTTTATACAAAATCCCAGGCCTAAGTAGGACACACATGTATGTTCAGTGAATAAATGTGTATGACTGGGTGAGGGCCAGAGAAGGAAGACAGTAAACCAGGTCTTTGCCCTCCCACAACTAAAGAAACTTTAGTCTCACAGGGTCAGTGAATAGGAGTGTAAGATGTTTGCCTTGCACATGGCAGGTCTGAGTTCGATCCCTGGCATTACAGGGTATAGTTCAGCCTCTCCACTCTACCCCCCAAAAAGAAAATAAATCTTCAGTGTTGATCTTGAATATTTATAACTAGAAACACCATAATAATACATGTCACATACTCTTTTTTGTTTGTATGTTTGTTTTGGGTCACACCCGGAGATGCTCAGGGGTTACTCCTAGCTCTACACTCAGGAATCACTTCTGGCAGTGCTTGGGGGACCATATGAGATGCTGGGACTTGAACCCTGGTCAGCCGCTTGCAAGGCAAATGCCCTCCCTGCTGTACTATCTGTCCGGCCCCTGTCACATACTCTTGAAAGTATGAAATACCTCATTTTATGCTTATCAAGGAAGACCTTTGCTTAGTACCAGAGTTCTAACTCTTAGGCCAAGGTGAGCTGAAGGTGGGCGGGTTGACTTCAAGTGGCATTTTGGCCAGATAGCAATTGTTCAAGCACTATTCTAAATAGATCTTTTATTGTAAATTAGTCTCTCACATCTTGTCTGCTGTTCAGATGGTTTGTTTCTGTTTTCAGGTCCTGAGCATCGTGCTTTCTGTGTGTGTTGTGTATAGCACCCATAAAAGTTTGGACAGAAAAGAAGGACTGCCTTTTTTAAATCAGATTGTCAGCTGGGTATTGTTAGGTAAGAGGTTGTCAAATCAAACAAGGTAACTTTGGATTCAATCACATCTTAAATGATCCACTTACATTTTATAGTGTTATTATTGAAAGAAATGATATTGTTGGAGGAAAATAATAATAGCCATTTATTACATACATCTCTTGCTGAAGTCTGACAAAGGAGATTAGAACTTTTCTGGGCGTCCATGTGTTAAAAATAATTTCACTGCACTGCACTGTCCTCCCATTGTTCATCAATTCGCTTGAGTGGGCACCAGTAACGTCTCCATTGTGGGACTTATTGTGACTGTTTTTGGCATATCGAATACCCCACAGGGAGCTTGCCAGGTTCTGCTGTCTGGGCAGGATATTCTCGGTAGCTTGCCGAGCTCTCTGAGAAGGATGGAAGAATCGAACCTAGGTCTACCATGTGCAATGCAAACGCCCTACCTGCTGTGCTGTCACTCCAGCAGTTAAAAATAATTACTTCATATAATATTTTTAACCTTATACAAGGTTATAATTTATTCACAGTTGATAGGATTAAGTGATTGCAGAAGAAAAGAGAGTTTTCTTTGGAGACCCACACCCAGAAGTGCTTGGAGACTACTCCCAGCTCAGTACTCAGGGATAGCTCCCAGCAACACAGGGAAGGATACGGTGTTGGGGATTGAACCCAGGGCTTCCACGTGCAAAGCATGTACTCTTGCCTTTTGAGCTATCTCTTCAGCTCCTATGCTGAAATTTAATATTAGTTCATAAATTTTTAGTTCTTACAGAGAGGCTGGGAAACAGTTAAATTTAATCTGGATTTCCCTTGCTGAAAATAGCATTAAGTCATACCCTAACAAATTTTATAAAGCCAGTTAAATGTTTCAAAACATATTTCTCTCTAGTATCCTAAGCCCGGCAAGCTACCGAGAGTATTCGATATGCCAGACACAGTAACAACAAAGTCTCCAATGGAGACATTATTGGGCCCGCTCGAGCAAATCGACGATCAACGGGAGGGCCTTTACCTTTACCTTTACACATGAAGCAAACAGACGTAACATAAAGATTGACTTTTCCTTTCAGCTAAAAAATTAGGAGCAAGCTTTAAATCCAGTTGTTTTGTACCGAGAAGATACTTGACAATGCTTGTGAATGATGTGACATGCAATTTAGCCTTTATACTTAAGAAATTATTTTTATTATTCATTATCAGAGAAGGAAAAAGTATTTGGAACATCATCTTAAAAATAGGAGGAATATTAAGATATAGGAATATTTTCCCTAGAATTACTTTATGCAGAGACTTAGAAATATGAGAAATGGATGCACATCTAAAGTTGATCCACCCCATTTCCCAAACACGTTGATCCATGTTCCAGTGGAGTTATTCTTGGACAGCAACTCTTCGATCATTACAAATAAATTTGTGACTGGAGAGATAGTAACAGGGATTAAGGTGACTGCCTGGCATGCTGCTGGCCCGAATTCATTCCCTCGCACCACATACCGTTCCAAAAGCACAAGCAGAGATCACTCCTGAGTACAGAATCAGGAAGAGCTCTGGAGCAGTACTTGGTATGGACCCAGAGTTCCTCCAACAAAATAGCAATCACCTCACCTTCACTATGTAAACTTCATTTTATATGGGCATTTTATAGCTCTTCTCTTTCATATTGATTGATAAGGTTAGTCATTATCTTCATTCAATATGAACAATATTAATTGCTGTTCCTTATTGTGAAGTATTGTGTTAGATTTGTACAAAGTTCTAGCTCTATTCTTGTTCTTCGAGAATAGTAGATAGATTAAATCCCTTCCCTCCTGTACTTGCTATATTCTCAAGGGACAGTGCAAGTCTTTTCTTCTGGTGAGATAACACTGTATGTAATGATCTCTTTGTAACATGTTAATGTTCAAATCCACAGGAAAATTAAAAATTATGAATAGCAAATATAATGTTATACTGCACAGATTTACAAATATTCAGTCGTACGCATAACCAGCAGATAAAAATGTGGCAAACAAAATGTGACAGGTTAATAAATAGAAGATGTGGGGCTGGAGCTATAGCCCAGCAGGTGTGGCGTTTGCCTTGCACGCAGCCAACCCAGGTTCCATTCCCAGCATCCCATATGGTCCCCCATGCACCGCCAGGAGTAATTCCTGAATGCAGAGCCAGGAATAACCCCTGTGCATCGCCGGCTGTGACCCCCCCCAAAAAAAAGTGCAAAATAATAAATAAATAAACAAACAGAAGCTGTACACATATTATATACTGTGTATTATATGCTCTATTCTATACACTTTATACAGCAGCCAAGATCCTGTTCACCATATAGCTTCATTTCTTGTAGCCTAGCTGAGTGCCATAGTTTTACCTTCCTTGGAATAAACCACAATGAATAAGAAAAGCAGAAGAAATCAGAAATCCAAATTTATTTTTTAACATTAAATAATTAAAATTATTTTTATATATCCAAGGCTTCTTTAAAATTGTTTAACCAGAATTACTGAAAGCAGTCTTCTACCTTCGCAACTGTCTTTTATTTGTATTTATGAGTATCAGTTTGTATAAAGTCATTTTATCTATTCTACTGACCTTATAATTAATATTTAAAATAGGACTTAGTAATGCCCTCTGTGGTATTTTTCCCTTTCTTTTGTGACATTGACAATTTTGAAGACTATAGCCAACCCACTCTGTCCTTCCAATGGACTGTTACTCAATCTATATTTGTCAGATGTTTCCTTATAATTAAATTGAGGATGTACATTATTGGCTGGAATACTGCTTAAGTGATGTCGTGTCCTTGGGTCCCAGTTGGAGGCACGTGACCTTCATCTCCATCACTGTTGGTATGAGTTTTCATTACCCTATCAAGTTAGTATCCAGGTTGTTTTGTTTTTGTTTTTTACTGTTCACTGTTTTTCTTCTTTCTTACAGTAAGCCATTCATGAGAAGACACTTTAAAACCACCAAATATCTTTCCCATTAAAATATCCCCCCCGCACCTCCCCCAAATAGCATCCATTCTTCAATCTTTCCTGGTTGGTCTTGGTTGTGGTAGCTACAGAGTGTTGATCTTGGAGCTCTAAGTCTCCTGCTGCATTTATGAAGGGGCTCAGCACTCACCTGTGAGGACCCTCCCTTCTTTCTTAATTCATTCATCACTCACTTATATACTATTATTGTTGGGGACCGTGGAGATACTATTTTTTCCATGGCTTCGAACTTGTTACTGTTGATGCGTTGGTTTTCAAATTGTTGGAGGACTGTCCAGAGTGAACCCCCTTAAGCTAGCTCATAAATAGCCCTTCACAATTTTGTGGAACACTTTCTTATACTCTGGAATTAAGGGGGCGCTTGCCCTATCCGATTTGCCTTCTGTCCACTCTGCCCATCTCTGGAATCAAGTTTCTCAGAGAAATTCAGAGTTCTGTATATTAGGTAAGTGGCAGTCGGGACCAAGTTTGAGTGCGAGATGGACTGATCATTACCAAAGTAACTTTGCTCTGTTGCCCTTCCATAGACAGAATTTGGAAATACAGACACGTGTCTCATTTACGTGTGCATACATTACTTACAGGTACAGAGGAATACATACATTGTGCCTACATGTGTATCGTGTGTGTGCATAAGCTTACATATACATGGCTTGGTTCCCAACAGCATTCAACACATTGATTCGCTCGGCCACATGGTACAGCTAAAATAACTTTAGAATGTTTTACCCATGCGATTACAATAAACAAACTAAATATAAATCAGAATTTGTTTGCTGTTGACGCTCTGCCTCCACACCACCCAGCCAAGATTGCAGGTTTCTGGTTAAGTACCGCGTTCACAGTCACTTGGATTTGCGTGCCCACCCACGTGCTTCCTTCTTCCCACTCAGCCCTGTCTTTCCCTTCATTTCCCTCTTTGTAAATTACTAGATTCATCTGAAGTCCAACTGTTTCCTTTGCTTCAGTTGGCTTTGTGTACTAGATATTTTTCTCTCGCCCATGTCTTATTAAATTTTGTTTGTTTCTTTCTTTTTGGCCATACCAAATACGCAGGGCTTACCCCTAACTCTGGGCTTACTCCTGGCTCTGTGCTCAAGAATCACTCATGGAGGTGCTTGGGGGACCATATGGGATGCTGAGAACCAAACCTGGGTTGGCTGCATGCAAGGCAAGCACCCTCCCCTTTGAACTATTGCTGCAGCCTTCTCGCCTGCACGGCAGGGCCTGGCAAGCTCCCCGTGACGTATTCGATATGCCAAACACAGTAACAACAAAGTCTCCAATGGAGACGTTACTGGGCCCGCTCGAGCAAATTTTTTTTAATTATTAAATTTAATTGTATATGTAGAGTATTCGCAAACTTTCAAAAGCCAGATTGTTCAAAACTATCTTTAAAGAGGGGCCAGAGCTATAGCACAGCAGGTAGGGCGTTTGCCTTGCACGCAGCCGACCCGGGTTCGATCCCCAGCATCCCATATGGTCCCCTGGGCACGGCCAAGAGTAATTCCTGAGTGCAGAGAGCCAGGAGTAACCCCTGAGCATTTCTGGGTGTGACCCAAAAAAGAAAAAAAACTATCCTTAAAGAAATGCTACATATATTATTTCCACCCCATTCTCACCTACCTCTGATCTCTACCAAGTTGTAACCATTATTGTGTTCTGATTATCCTTCATATTGTTCTCCTTGCAATGAGAAAAAGTATAGGAAACGTAGTGCTTTGTACTTATGTATTTTGAATATTTTCCTTTAAAATGGGCTGGAGTGATAGCACAGTGGTAGGGCATTTGCCTTGCACGCAGCCAGTCTGGTCGAGCCAGGTTCGATTCCTCTGCCCCTCTCGGAGAGCCTGGCAAGCTACCGAGAGTATCCAATATGCCAAACACAGTAACAAGAAGTCTCACAATGGAGATGTTACTGGGCCCCCTTTAAAATATCATAGTATGGGGGCGCGGGGGGCAGGGAGGTAGCACAGTGGACTAGAGAAAGGATGTGGGAGGGCGAGGTTCCGTCTCAGGCACTGCATGGTAGCCTAAATACTCAGTCGGCATCAGCCCTCAAACACTGCCCCCCACCAGGAACAAACCAAATACCCTCCTGCTATTTTTGTGACCATGTCATCACAATTCATAAGTTTCTTTATTATTAACACTATTGGAACTTACATATGGAAAACTTCACTGTCACTGTCCTACCATTGTTCATCGATTTGCTCCAGTGGGCACCAGTAACATCTCCATTGTGACACTTGTTACCATGTTTAACATATCAAATACGCTATGGGGAGCTTGCCAGGCTTTGCTGTGCAGGCGAGATACTCTCTGTAACTTGCTGAGCTCTCTGAGACAGGCGGAGGAATCAAACCTGGGTTGGCCAGGTCAGCCGCGTGCAAGGCAAACGCCCTACCTGCTGTGCTATTGCTCCAGCCCACGGAAAACTTAGAGACTAATCTGAGGATAATGTAGGTACAATTTGGGTAGTTTTTATGTTTGGGGGTGGTGTTTGGGCTATACCAGGCGGTGCTCAGGGCTTACTCCTAGCTCTGTGCTCAGTGATGACTCTTGGCAGTGACCTTTGCTGCCAGCACTACCTGGGGATTGAGTCAGGGCAGGCCGTGTGCAAGGCAAGCACTTTAACCTCGGTGCTGTGTCTCTGGCCCTCGTCTTTACTCTGTGATTTGATTTTGAGTGAGATTGTCTTTACATTTAATGCACAATAAGAGCCATTAGTAAACACTGACTGCTCGTGATGAGAGATGACATTTATAAAGCACTGTGTGTCCCAGGCACTGTGCTCAGGAAGCTTTTTATAGGTGAAATTAGATTTGAACCTCACAGTTTGACAAATGGAGGGATGCTGCTTAAATGAGTTAACCAACTTGCCCCATGGTTAAACAATACGTGATTTAATAAGGATTTTATTCCAAGTCATCATCTCTATACTTTGTTTAACTTTATTGCCATCTTAAGCGGAAGGGTTCTTTCCAAAATAGAGATTGGGATTGGAGGTATGTTTTGCTTCTTTAGACTTTCTCCCTTTGAAGTCATTACTTCCTTATTCTGGAGGACAAACTACTTCTGCTCTTAAAATTTCCTTTACATCTCTCACATGTGGTAAAGACCATTTTAATGAATTAATTTCTCATTTTCTTGGGCTGGAGCGATAGCACAGCAGGTAGGGTGTTTGCCTTGCACATGGCCAACCTGGGTTTGAATCTTCTGTCCCTCTCGGAAGGCCCAGCAAGCTACCGAGAGCCCGCCTGCATGGCAGAGCCTGGCAAGCTCCCCATTGCATATTCAATATGCCAAAAACAGACAACAAGTCTCACAGTGGAGACGTTGCTGGTGCCCGCCCAAGAAAATCAGTGAATGGGAGGACAGTTCTGCAGTGCTACGGTGCTCATTTTCTTAAAGATCCAACGCATACTCTGCAATGTGAAAACTTCGGGGTGGAAAGGGCTAGGAAAAATATATTTCTGGGCAAGTAGTTTGTCTTTGAAATTGATGCTTAATTAAGAGAAGAATCACTGAATCTTAGAGTAATTTGGGCTGGAGCGATAGCACAGCAGTAGGGCGTTTGCCTTGCACGCAGCCAACATGGCCGACCCGAGTTCGATTCCTCAGCCCCTCTCGGAGAGCCCGGCAAGCTACCGAGAGTATCTCGCCCGCATGGCAGAGCCTGGCAAGCTCCCCATGACGTATTCAATATGCCAAACACAGTAACAACAAAGTCTCCAATGGAGACGTTACTGGGCCCGCTAGAGCAAATCGATGATCAACGGGAGGGCCTTTACTTTACTTTACTTTACTTACAATTTTGCAAAATATTTAGGAATTCATATTCCAGTAAGCAAGGTTTACTATAAATTAAAAACTGAGTGGTTAAAATTTAAAAAATAGATTTTTAATTAAGAGTGTGACCTCATTTTCTACAAAAAAAGATTAAGACAAGAATTTCAAAGTTGGGCAAGGGGCTGGAACAATAGTACAGCAGGTAGGGCATTTGCCTTACACGTGGCTTACTCAGGTTCCATCTCCGGCATCCCATATGGTCCCTCAAACACCGCCAGGAGGAATTCCTGAGTGCAAAGCCAGGAGTAACTCCTGAGCATCACTGGGTGTGACCCAAAAAAGCAAATTAAATGGAGTCGGGCAAACAAGAAATGCCTTAAGTGACAGCTGGTCATTCGCTGTTTCTCGTGCTTCCTGCGCTGACTCTGCCCCTTGTCTCGTTGCAGGCTCTTCCTTCTTCACGCCGCTGCTGAGTTCCACGGTCCTCTTCGAGCGCTTGTTCAGCATTCTCCTGGCCTTGATGTCCACTTACCTGCTTCTCAGCACAGGGTACCAACTTGTTAGAGTTTTTAGTAGCAAATTTTAAATAATGATGTACTCTCATTCCTCCATGGGTCTTGAGCCCCTCGAGACAGAAAGCATTGTGTAAATCTTGTAGATAAGTCATAAGTATTTCTACTTTTTTGTACTCTGGATTGTCTCTAAAATCATACGTACCAGTCTGTAATCCTACTTTTCTTTTTCTTTTTTTTGCTCTCTATTTCCTAAAATTGTTTAAATGCCATATTACTACAGTGTTAGAAAATTGTGGTTGCGTATGAAGGAACTTAATTCTTGAGACTTCAATCATTTTTGGTTCATTCCTTTCATGTACTTTAAATTATACCTTGACTTGATGTTTCTTATTTGAATATAATATTTTATTTTTATTTTTAGATGTTACATGCTTTTCATTGATCAGATATTCCTTTTATTCAAAAAACTCATATTTTCCCCTAAGTCATTGAAGAAATTTTTATTTTAGAGTCAAAATTCCTGGGGCTGGAGCAATAGTACAGTTGGTAGGGAGCTTGCCTTGCATATGGCCAACCACATTCCATCCATGGCATCCCCTAGGGTCCCTCTAGCACTGCCAAGAATAATTCCTGAGTACAGAGTCAAGAGTAACCCCTGAGCATTGCTGGATGTGGCCCCAAACTTCCTCTCAAATTTCTTTCAAAATAAGATTTAACTTAGGGTGGACCCTGGAGCACTCTGCAATCGTTTTTCTTAGTCTTTTCCCCACTGTGGCTTCCTTCCAGCCTGATTTCCTTCCCGTGGCCTCTGTGCTGCCATTGGGCTCCCCCCAGTCTCCTGCCATGACCCCCATTTACTTGATTTTGACCTGGAGCCCACCTACGAATAGGTGTCCCTGGTTGAGAAATGCCACCCTAAACTTGGTGACAATAGAGAGATCCCTATAGACTGATCTCCTTAGAATAAAAGAGTTCAGAACTTGCTTCTGAGTTTTTATTTTATCCTTTAGTAAATATTAGAATAAGAAATACATATATTATAAGAAAATGAGTAAAATAGAAAAAAGAAAGAAACATCCTTCACCTTTTGACATTTCACCCAAATAGAGGGTTTTCATCCCGGTTTGACTTAATGGATTCACCATTGCAGTAAAAATATATTGCTCCATTTGGATGATTTTGTAAAACCATTTTGGGTCTCAGCATTGGGTTCATTTTTTGGGGAAACTTAATTATTCTATTTCAGAATTAGATGGATGTTCTCAAAATCCTTTCATATTAAGCTCTAACTTCCTAAGTGCCTTTGACAGCGGGAGTTATCTTCCAAACAGAAGAGAATTCAGTGGAACACTCAAAAATTTTTTTCAATTTCAAAAAAAATTTTTTTAATTGAATCACAATGAAATACACAGTAGCAAACTTGTTCATGATTGGGTTTCAGTCATAGAATGTTCCAGCACCCACCACTTCACCAGTGTATATTTCCCACCACAACCAGTGTCCCCATTTTCTCTCCGATCCCCCCAACTTCCTTCTTTTTTAAAAAATTGCAATCTCCTTGCATAAAAACTTTGAGACACAGCTTTGAAACATAATGTAAGCAACATGAGCATTTTCTTTCTTTTCTTTCTTTTTTTTTTTGGCTTATGGACCACACCTGGTGATGCTCATGGTTGACTCCTGACTCTGCACTCAGGAATCCTCCTGCTGGTACTTGCGGGGACCATATAAAATGCCTGGGATCGACCCCGGGATGGCCACGTACATAGCAACAATTTACCTGCTCTACTATTGTTCTGGGCTGGAGCGATAGCACAGCAGGCAGGGCGTTTGCCTTGCACACAGCCGACCTGGGTTCTATTCCTCCGCCCCTCTCAGAGAGCCCGGCAAGCTACCGAGAGTATCCCGCCCGCACTGCAAAGCCTGGCAAGTGTCCCGTGACGTATTCCATATGCCAAAAACAGTAACAACAAGTCTTACAGTGGAGACGTTACTGGTGCCCACTCAAGCAAATCAATGAACAATGGGAGAATAGTGGACAGTGCTACTATTGTTCTAGCGCCAGCATGAACATTTTCACCTGATTTTACTTACGAACTTAAGATTGGCTGGGTCTGGAGAGATGTCACAGCGGGTAGGGCGTTTGCCTTGCACGCGGCCGACCCGGTTTCGATTCCCAGCATTCCATATGGTCCCCTCAGCACCACCAGGAGTAACTCCTGAGTGCAGAGCCAGGAGTAACCCCTGTGCATCGCCAGGTGTGACCCAAAAAGAAAAAAAAAAAACTTGAGATTGACTTGTTTTTAGAGTTAGACTTTGAACTTTCAAATAAAGCTTGAAGTCTATAAGCATTTTCTTTTTCAAATTATAAACATAACAGCACCTTAAAGACTCTTCAGTTCTTTGATGTTTACTGGTGAAATTTCTGGTTGATTAGTTGTGATCGGAATTCATTACAGTATATATAGATTAGAATGTGCACACATTTTACATTTAAATAAGGAAACAGATGATAAAACTCATTTCTGTTCTAACCCATCATTTTGCATTTCATTATGAGATCACACCCAACAGTTGCCTTAAGGGAATAAATGTTTGCGAGGGGGAGAGAATATGTGTGAAGTTCTGCATAGTCACTTAATAAATATTTTAAAAAATCTAATTCTAAAGCAGTAACTGGATTTAAAGCAATGTATAATGGATTCAAAAAGAAAGCAAATCTAGAAATAGATATGGCTTGCTGGGGTAGGGGTGTGGGCAAGGGGAAGAAGCTAGAAAGGAAGGAAATGAGGAAGAAAGATTGAAAGGATGGAAGGGAGGGAAGGAGGAAAGGAGAGAGGGAGGAAGAAGGAAGAACAGTTGAGGTTTAATTTTGAGTAAAACAATATTTCAGGGCCCACAACGTGATGTAGAAGAGTACATGTCTTGAGTGTGCGAGGACCCAAGTTAAATCCCTAGAACCATAGAGCCAGTCAGCGTGGCCCGACAACTAAAAATAAATGTAGAGTGAGTTTTAATGTGGGGCTGGAGCGATAGCACAGTGGGGAAGGCGTTTGCCTTGCACACAGCAAACGTGGCCGACCCGAGTTCAATTCCTCCACCCCTCTCGGAGAGCCCGGCAAGCTACCGAGAGTATCTCACCCGCATGGCAGAGCCTGGCAAGCTCCCCGTGACGTATTCGATATGCCAAACACAGTAACAACAAAGTCTCCAATGGAGACGTTACTGGGCCTGCTCGAGAAAATCGATGAACAACGGGAGGACAGTGACAGTGAGTGAGTTTTAATATAACCTACAATGGGGATAAGCAATACAGTATTTTTTATAGTAAAATATTTTTTACAGCAACCAAAGTTTATTTTTTAATTTTTTATTAGTGAATCACAGTGAGGTACAGTTACAGACTTACAAACTTTCATACTTGTGTTTCAGTCATACAGTGATCGTGTACCCATCCCTCCACCAGTGCCCATTTTCCACCACCAGTGGTCCCAGCATCTCTCCCACCACCCCTACCCCATACCCTCCACCCTACCCTGCCTCTGTGGCAGGGCTTTCCCTTTTGCTTTCACTCTCTCTTTTTGGGTGTTGTGGTTTGCAATAGAGGTATTAAGTAGCCATCATGTTTGGTCTATAGTCTACTCTCAGCACACATCTCCCATCCCGAGCGGGCCCTCCAATCACCCTTTACTTGGTGGTCCCTTCTCTATCTGAACTGCCTTTTCTCCCAGCATGTGAGGCCAGCTTCTAAGCTGTGGGGTAATCCTCCTGGTACTTATCTCTACTATTCTTGGGTGTTAGTCTCCCATTCTGTTACTTTATATTCCACACATGAGTGCAAGTTTTCTCTGTTGGTCCCTCTCTTTCTAACTCATTTCACTTAGCGTGGTACTTTCCATATTGATCCACCAATATGCAGATTTCGTGACTTCATGTTTTCTAACAGCTGCATAGTATTCCATTGTGTAGATGTACCAAAGTTTCTTTATCTAGTCATCTGTTCTCAGGCACTCAGTTTTTTTCCAGATTTTGGCTATTATCAACAGTGGTGCAGTAAACATCTAAGTGCAGATGCCATTTCTACTATACTTTTTTATATCTCTGGGATATATTCCCAGGAGTGGTATTGCTGGATCAAATGGGAGCTCAATTGCTAATATTTTGAGAAGCATCTGTACTGTTTTCCAAAAGGGATAAACCAGCCGGCATTCCCACCAGCAGTGAAAGAGAGTCCCTTTCTTGTCACATCTGCACCAACACCAGTTGCTTTTGTTCTTTCAGATGTGGGCCAGTCTCTGCGGTGTGAGATGATACCTCATTGTTTTGATCTACATCTCCCTGATGATTAGTGATGAAGAGCTTTTTTTCATGTGCCTTTTGGCCATTTAGATTTCTTCTTTGAGAAAGTTTCTGTTCATTTTGTTGCCCCATTTTCTGATGGGGTTGAATGTTTTCTTCTTGTGGAGTTCAACCAGTGCCTTGTAAATACTTGGTATCAACACCTTATCAGATGGGTATTGAGTGAATATCCTTTCCCATTCTGTAGATTGTCTTTGTATTCTGGTCACTGAATCTTTTGCGGTGCAGAAGCTTCTCTGTTTAAGGTAGTCCTTTGTTTATCTCTGTTTCCACTTCCTTCGGCAATAGTGTGTCAACTTTAAAGATATCTTTAGCTTCAATGTCGTGGAGGGTTTTGCTGATCTTGTCTTCAATGTACCTGATGTATTCTGGTCTGATGTTTGAGGTCTTTGATCCATTTTGATCTGACTTTTGTGCATGGTGTTAGGTAGAGGTCTGAGACCATTTTTTGCATGTAGCTGTCCAGTTTTGCCAGCACCATTTGTTAAAGAGGCTTTCCTTGCTCCACTTCACATTTCTTGCTCCCTTATCAAAGATTAGATGATCATATATTTGAGGGTTTGTGTCAGGATATTCAACCCTGTTCCATTGGTCTGCGGCTCTGCCTTTGTTCCAGTGCTGTTTTAATTATTACCTCTTTGTAGTAGAGTTTGAGGTTGGGAAGGGTGATGCCTCCCATCTGCTTTTTCCCAAAAATTGCTCTTTTTTGTGGGGGCAAGTAATACAATATTTTAAATAATTTAAAAAATATTTTAGACATTTAAATACAATATTTTAAATATTATTTGAGAAAGATGCCTGAACAGATTAAAGAAACACACAGTTTGAGATGAGGTTAAAAATATGTAAAGGCCCTCCCGTTGATCGTCGATTTGCTCGAGCGGGCCCAGTAATGTCTCCATTGGAGACTTTGTTGTTACTGTGTCTGGCATATTGAATACTCTCGGTAGCTTGCCGGGCTCGTCCGAGAGGGGCGGAGGAATCGAACTCGGGTCAGCCATGTTGGCTGCGTGCAAGGCAGACGCCCTACCCGTTGTGCTATCGCTCCAGCTCCAAAAATATGTATAAATATATATATATATTAAATTCTGGGCTGAGTAAGTACAGTGGGGTAGGGCACTTGCCTTCACATGGCTGACCCAGATGATGTTGGCTTGAGCTCTGCCAGGTGTGTTCCAAAAACAAACACAAAAAAATGTATACTAAATTTACAACAGCAATTGTGAATATGACTTTATTAATGAATGTGTTAAGAAATATATTTCAACATTCGAAAGCATATTTTCCTTTGCAAAATAGTTTAGTAGGAGTAGCATAAAAGAGCACAAAGTTGAATAATTTCAATTCGTGTACTTTTCAGTATTGAATCAGATCAAAAGAACATAGTCTACCGATTATTGTTTCACATCATATTTTTGACAACCCAGAGTTTTATAACAACTCAGTGAATAAACAATTATAGGATATTTAAAAGAAGTTTTATTATCATGGAAAGAACATAGTAGTATCCTAAATTCTAACAATGTATCTTTGATTTAATGAATAAAGAAGATAGATCCCGTTTTAATCAGCATTTAATTATTGTTATGCAAATAGGAGTTACTTGAAAATAGTTTTAAGTTGTTAAACATTTACTTCTGAAATTTTGTTTATATTATCCCTTAACTTTGCAAACTGTAATACAAAACTAAATGCCTTTCCAGCCTACTTCAATTAGCACAGAGACCAAACTAACAGATTTGATTTAGTAAGGTTTTATCATGTACACTGGGAACTTGTGGTGACATTTTGTTGGTATTTCAGTTTATTAATTCAGTTATGCATATTTATTATAAGATATTGATTGTCCTAAGAAATAAAATCCCATAGGAAGATGGTCTCTATCAGATTTATTCCTCTATATTTTTCAAAAGAAAGTGATTATAGTTTATAGTTTCTAAACATAGTCTTAAAATAAATCAGTAGCTCTATTTGTGCAGCTGTGGAATTTTTTTATATTCTAGGAAAAAAATTCTGCATATATATCTGCAAGTATTTTAAAAACTGTGGAGACCTGTTTTACTCAGTATGCACCTCCTTTTTAAAGAGCATGTAGGATGCAGGCATTCTAAATCTTTGTTTTTCAAATGTTATGTTTTTAATCATTGTAAAAATAGCATAATTACATTTTGGAAATAGGATAAACCTTCATGTTGATGTTCCATTCTGACCACTACTGTATTTATCATAGTATTAATCATAGTCCCTGTACTGTTTTGTATTTTTTTTCTACTTACCATCATTTCCCCTGATGACTCATAAGTTTCCTAATCATCATTTATTTTAAATAAATATTCAGTGTTTTATTATGTGAGTTTACCTTGGCTTACTTGTGCCATTCCTCTTTTTTTTTAAAAAAAAAAAGTACTTTTTATTACTATAAATTGTATTTTAAGTTGTTTTTATGCATGAGACTCTACAGAGTTTGGATTATTTCCTTTGTTTACTTCTGAAGTGCAGTGTAGGATGGTGATCCATTGAGTATAAACTTTTTAAAAATACCTTTGTCTTAAGAACAGTGTCAGTTTATAATATCACTAACAATGTGATAGAGCTTATTTTTAATACGTTCTTCACAATATGTGTTATTCTTATTTTTTAATTCTGTTTCATTTCTTTTTATTTTGGGGCCATTCCAGTGGTACTTAGGGCTGACTCCTTGCTCTGTGCTCAGGGATCACTCCTGGCGGGGCTCAGGGACCATGTATGGTGCTGGGGATCAAACCCAGGTCGACCACATGCAAAGCAGGTGCTTAATCTTGGTACTATCTCTCTGGCCAGTTATTTTATTTCTTTTTTCTGTTTTTGTTGGTGGTGGTGGTGGTCACTCTCAGCAGTGCTCAGGGCTTACTGGCTCTGTGCTCAGGGGTTATTCCTGGCAAGACTTATGGGGCCATTTATGGTTCTGGGGATCAGACCTAAACCAGGTGAGTGCCAGGCAAGTGTCTTACCCACTGTCCTATTTCTCCTGCCGCTTTTATTTTAATTTTCAAATTGGAATATCAAGTGCTCTTTTCATAGTTCTCAAATGCTGCACCTGGGTCTGACGTGCTGCCGTGTTTCGCTAGTGCTGTTTCCTGTCTTCTTGGCCATCCTACGTCCTCTGTACGAAGTGATCTGTACGAGCATCCTCAAACTTGTTTCCTTGCTGCCCACTCTTGGGTATTTCACTTTTAGAGTCTAACATGGCATTTTAAGGACTTGGTTTCCTTTGTTTTTTTTTTTTTTCATTTTTAGGAAATAGTGCAACTTGGAATAGGATTTAATAGTTGAAAGAATTAAAGAGAGGTAAAGGCTTTCTGCTTGGATTTGTTTGCTTTTGTTTCATAAGTAACCTGCTCGGCAGACACTGGAGTCTGGGCCTGCTGTGTGACGAGAGACACACAGGGCTCACGGGTATGAGTTAGCATGTGACGAACATGTGTGTTCAGTATCTAGACCAGATGGGGAGGACTTACCTGGAACATTTCTTCCAAACTAGCGGCGACTTCTGTCACAGTGTTCCCTCGTGAGAAAGCTTTTCTCCTCCATTTGTGTTCTGTTGACTACGTCCCACCTCAGCCTGGAGCTGTGCCATGACTTCTTGACCCCCTGTCGTTAGATTTGTCTGGTGTTCCCTGGTTCCCCTCCATAATCGGTGTTATGAGGACGTCTTCCTAAGGGACTTACCCTGCATATCTGATTAAGTATCTCAGAGCAAATTTGTCAAAGACATCACGGAATTATGGTATGTTAAGATTTTTTAAACTATTGGTGCATCATATTAGATTGCCTTCCAAGAAGTATTTGCTCCTATGTGGAAATGTGAAAGTCCTTTTCTTTTTTCTTCCAATTCTTGTTGACATCTTTTAAAAATACAGGTCAGCAGGACAAATGGGTACAGTATCTCCCCAGTGTTTTCATTTATCAGTAAAATCATAAATATGTTTTGTGAATTTATCAATGTTTTTCATTTTGAGAGATTTATAATCATTTACTGTGTAATTTTTAAAAATAAATTGGGATAATTCTATTGCTCTTTTATCTATATTAATAATTTTAACTCAGAAATTGCCTGTCTTACAGCTATCAAAGTTATCGATAGCTGAATTCTAGGCGTATAATATTTCCATGCCTGTCCCTCCACCAGTGTTCCCATATTCGCTCCCCAGCCGCCCCCACCCCATTCCTATCTGCCAGCTTGACAAGCACATTACGGAGTTCCAGTGGTTGCTGTGTCGAGCTCATGTTTTTCAGTCTTGTTGAGTCTGTGTTTTGGACGTCTGGCTTTGCCTCTCACCCTGACCAGTCGAACTGAAGTCCTGATCCCTGCTCACTTTCTGATCTCATCTCTCCCTCACCCCCTTGATTATTTTCCTTGTGTCCTCCTCCTCTCTATAAACCCTGGGGTCAAGGGTGATCTAGGCATCCTCCTTTTACTATAACACATTTCCTCATCCAGTATTCTGTACACCACAGATAATCTTAAGTTTTTGTATGTGTATCTGTAGTTTCTTATAAGTCTTACTCTCAACTATTTATTCTTTACTAATGAATTTTACTCTTACTATTTTAAAAATCTACTGATCTCAAGGTTTAGTATTTTTTTTTAAAAAAAGATAGTGTTGGAGGGGGCTGGAGCCATAGCACAGAGGAAAGAGCGCTTGCCTTGCACGCGGCCAACCCAGGTTCGATTCCCAGCATCCCATATGGTCCCCTGAGCACCGCCAGGAGTGATCCCTGAGTCCATGAGCTAGAAGTAAACCCTGTGCATCGCCAGGTGTGACCCAAAAAGCACTGTAGCACTGTAGCACTGTCCTCCCGTTGTTCATCGATTTGCTCGAGCGGGTCCAGTAACATCTCCATCATGAGAATTATTGTTACTGCGTTTGGCATATCAAATACGTCACGGGTAGCTTGCCAGGCTCTGCTGTGCGGGCGAGATACTCTCGGTAGCTTGCCGGGCTCTCTAAGGGGCAGAGGAATCAAACTTGGGTTGGCCATATTGGCCGCATGCAAGGCAAATACCCTATCCACTGTGCTATCGCTCCAGCCTCACCCAAAAAGCAAAAAAAAAAAAAAAGATAGTGTTGGAGTTGATATTTAAACATTCATTTCCTAATTTTTTTCTAGAAACTCTCAGAAATTTATGTTATTATGATTTATAAATATTTTCAAGATTGTTTTAATTCTAAGAAAAACCTCTTATTGTCAACTTGCAATTTATTTTTCAATTTTTTTTCTTTTCATTTCTACTTTGTACTGTACCCCTGCCCTCCTAGGTATGAAGCTCTCTTTCCATTAGTGTTGTCATGTTTGATGTTTGTCTGGATACACATGGAACACGCAACCTTTCAACAATCTGGTCTCTCCTATAAACAGAAGGTAGCTTGGCAAAAGTCATTGTTGCGTTTACTTGAGAATGTATGCTATGTTCTATCAGGAAGTTGCAATGCTATTTCATGACAAACCTTTCTGCTTAAAATATTGCATTGTTTACATATTAATGATTAAACTAGAAATAATTCACTTGTAAGGAAATCTTTCCTTATACACACAAATTTAAAATTTTCCACAGGTTGGGCTTTGTTTCCAGATATATTTGAGGATTTCTGAATGGTATAAGAAACACCGATATGATAGAGAGATGGTAAAGTAGCCAAGGCTCTTGCCTTGCATGTGGCAACCCAAGATCAATACCTGGCACCACATATGTCCCCTGAGCCCACCAGGAGTGATCCCTGAGCACAAAGCCAGGAGTACGTCCTAAGCATCATTGGGTATAGCCAAAAAAAAAAAGTTTTGATCAGACTTATGTAGATGGTCTTTTCTTAATACTAAACATTTTAATATTAGATACATACTAAAAAATGAGGGGCCAGAGAGTGTGTTGAAGGGGTATGGTGTTTGCCTGGTGTGCAGCTGACCACGGTTTTGATCTTGACACCTGTGGTCCCCCAAGCATTGCTAGAGAGTCATAGAGCCAGGACTAACCGCCAGCTGAGCACCTCTGGTGTGGCCCAAACCATCCCCACCCCAAAAGACAATGATTGTGTTATTGTTTTACTCTATTTTAATTTTATTTTTGACTTACACCTAGCAGTGCTCAGGGGTTACTCCTGGCGGGCTTGTAGGACCTTATAGGGTGCTGAGAATCAGAATCCAACTTGGCCAGGTGCAAGGCAAGCATGCTAGCTGCTGTACTATCTCTCCAGCCCATATTCTTAGCATATTTTAAAACAGACAACAGATCAGTCTTTCTCTTTAGAGCATCCTAAGAATTTGTGGGGAAAAAAAAACTTACAGAGTATGGAGAGCAGAGGAAGAAAGAGTGCATTTGTTCCATAGGAATTGAGTAACTTTTGGGCCAGAGTGATAGTACAGCGGGTAGGGCGTTTAACCTTGCATGCAGCCAACCTGAGTTCAATCTCTGGCATCCCATATGGCCCCCCAAGCACCGCCCGGAGTAGTTCCTGAGTGCCCAACCATGGGTAACCTTTGAGCGTCTCTGGGTGTGACCAAAAAAAAATCGAATAACTTTTTATCTTACCAAATATAAGAATGTTTTGATTTTTTTAAAGAGAGAGAAAATAATCTTTCTACAAATAAAATTAGCAGAATAAAGAAACAGATGCTTCATTTTGTCATGCTTTCTAATAACATAAAATACATGTATCTGAAAAGATAATGACATCCTTAGAAATTAGTTTTTAGAAAAGGGAAGAATTTTAAACTTGGTCTGAGAAATGAGCATAGTATGAGATGCCAAGAAACAAGTAACAGTAATTCAAAGGATTACGTAAGATTATCAAGGGATTTGAATGTCTTGTCCAAGAATTAGAACTTTATGTAGAAGGTTTATGTATACAATGGTTCATTTATTTGTAACTGTAGTTTTCAATATCTAAAGTGACTGAAATATACCATAACCTGTGTCCCAGATTTCTTATTTATTAAAAGCCAATATCAATTTCAGTGTAAAGTGTAGGTATAAACATTACACATGCATATTTACAAATTGCCTAATAACAATAAATAACAGACATAACTATTGTTGTTGTTATTTTATGCTTCCTCTAATGTGTTGCAGTACAATATGAAGATATAGTTTGCAAAGAGAAGGAAAAGGAAAGGAAGAATTACATAGGGATTTAAAAGTGAAGCTCTTATGTCCTAAAGGAAAAAAAAAAACAATTCTCACTTTTAATACACTTAATGGCAGTGCTACAACTTTAATCAGTATGTCAGCTACATATTTTACCTTTTGGAAGCTTTTATGAAGGTGTGATTAAGTGATAGAAAAATACTCATTTGTTGGGGGTGGTGGGATATGATCTCTCCGTCACTTTTGTATTCTAGACTAAGTCTGCCTTTGAGGATGAAGCAAGCAAACCACCACAGTGCGTTCACGTATTTCTTAACCGTCCACAGGTCAACAGTATCCAGTTTGCCTCTAACCCTGACGTCACTCGGCACCGGCAGCTCTATCTGGATGACCTCCGGAGGGCCTTTTTTCTGGTATCCTTTGGAAACTTCTGTCTTCCGGAGCTGCAAGCTCCCATGTGGTGGAATGAGAACATGTTGAAGGCATTTCTGCCCATCACTTAGTATTGTATGATGCACCGAAGCTCATTTAACCAATACTCGGCCAACTCTCAATCAGAGACTTCTCATACTTCATACTTGAAAGCATGTTGAAACCATAGAAAAGTATATTTTGTAACAACAAGCATATATTTTTTTAAAAGATCACTGTATCACTATCACTGTCATCCCATTGTTCATCGATTTGCTTGAGTGGATGCCAGTAACGTCTCCATTTGTCCCTGCCCTGAGGTTTTAGCAGCCTCTCTGTAGTCATCTTTCCCAATGCTGCCGAATTGGAGGCTCTTTCAGGCTCAGGGGAATGAGACCCGTTATTGTTAGTGTTTTTGGCCTGTTGAATATGCCACGGGGAGCTTGCCAGACTCTGCCATGCAGGCAGGACACTCTCAGTAGCTTGCCGGGCTCTCCGAGAGGGATGGAGAATGTACATAAGAGAATACAAGCAAGTATGTTAAAACCAAACACATGCGTGCTGCTTTAGACTATAAGAGGTTTTTTTTAAAGATAAAAAAACATAAGCAAACCCAGAGTCCAGTGTTTGTGCTAAAGCTGAGCTCTCGGTACACTGTAGGGTATTCTGAGAGTTTAGCAGAGAGAACAATTCTGAGATCTCCTTCACCAGTGTGGCCCTCCCGCCTAACCTCAGGGATCCGGTGTCCAGTCTCCTGCTGGATGCTCCCAGCCGTGTGTCCCCAGTTAACAGCTTCCCACTCCTCTCCAGGTCACCTGAGCAGGTCTCGTCTCATTGAACGGCTGCTCGGTCTCTCGTCACTAACTCTTGGCCCGGTCTGAAGTCCCCCCTGCATTCTCCCTTCATTCCCTCTGCACCATCTCACGCTTACTCTGCTCCTACCTCCAACCACTTAAACAGCTTCCTGATTACACTTCCTGATTGCAGTTACCTGTCTCTCTGATCCTAGTATGTGTCCCTGGGATTTCTCGATTATGTCACTCACTTAAAGTGACATAATTGCTGCCATGTCTCCACACCAAAATTCAAGCCTTCATTGTCTCCACACTAAATTTCAAGGCATTTTATTAATATGGCATTCTTCTGTATTGCTTCGTCTTTTCCTGTATCTTGTAATGAAATCTTAAGCTTTTCTCATCCCTATTTTTTATGTCTTAACTACATCATTTATTTCCCAGTTTCCTTAAGTACTTCTTATGTACTTCTACTTATTATCATAATTTTAGTTGCCATATGAGCACTCAAGATTTATTTTATTCATATTTATACTCTTAATGCATTGCCTGCTTCTAACACATATGAGATAATAAATGTTGGGTATTGATCAGTAGAATGAGTAGATCTGTGAATACATTAAGTCTCTAGTGAATTGCCACATATTCCCCGAAACTTGGCACAACACCTGCTTTTTCTTCAGTGTTTACTTGCAAATTTTATGTCTTTATAATAATAGAATAGCTAACATCAAGCCCTTTCAATGGGTCAAGCACTAAGTGCTTTACTGGTAGTAATTTTGAGATACCAGAAAGATTAATATCTACTTTTCATTACTGCACTACTCAGGAATTACTCCTGGCGATGCTCAGGGGACCATATGGGATGCTCAGAATCGAACCCAGGTTGGCCGCGTGCAAAGCAAAACCCTACCCGCTGTACTAGAGCTCCAGCCCCACATTTTCTTTTCTTGTTGCTGTAAGCATTCTATTCTGTCATTTTGCTATTTTAATTGCAGTGTTACCTGGTTTTGCATTTATTTGGGTTTATTTTGCTTGGAACTCTTTGATCATCCTGCATATGGCTATTTGCCTCCTTTCTTTCTTTTTTTCTTTCATGTGGAGAAGTTCTTGTTATTCTTTTTTATAACGTGAGATACAGTTACAGACTAACAAAGTTTCATAATTATGTTTCAGTCGGGCTGGAGCGATAGCACGTTTGCCTCGTATGCAGCTGACCTGGGTTCAATTCCTCCTCCTCTCTTGGAGAGCCCGACAAGCTACCGAAAGTATCTTGCCCTCACGGCAAAGCCTAGCAAGCTACCCTTAACGTATTCAATATGCCAAAAATAGTAACAACAAGTCTCACAATTTGTTGTGAGACGTTACTGGTGCCCACTTGAGCAAATCGATGAACAACGGGAGGACAGTGCTACAGTGCTGTTATTGCACTGATACAAATATAAGCTTGAGAAATGCCCAAACGCTTAACATTTTTTCCTCCTCTCATTCCTTTTTGGATTCTTTTAGAAACCGGAATCTTCTGAGGCTTCAGAAGAACCTAGAACAGGTTTCATACGCAGTTGGCACCAGCAGGCGTATCTGAACTTAGAAGAACAGGAATACTGTTTCAGCTGAAAATGTCTATGACCTGTACCCATTCCATGCTCTCCTTTGGAAAAAAAAATATGGTGCCCAACTAGAGATACGACAGTCCAGCCTTCACAGGTTAATGATGAGGGAGAATAGTTCCTTTCCCAGGGTTTCCAACGGCGAGTGTGGATGGTTTCCAGGTCCCACGGTTCTCAGTATTCTGCTGCTGCCGTCTGGTTCTTGGAAACGTATTCACAAGGAGATTGATGGGGCTCTCATTTGCAGCAATTAATAATTAGATGCATGAGAAGAGAAGCCAATTACCTTCACGATAATAGGCATGTCTGTCCTAAATGAAAAGAAAGTTGTATGAATTCTCACAGCCCTGGGAATTTCCTTAACTCTCCTTAGGTTTTCTTCATAGTGACAGCATTTTTTGGAACTGGGAACATAGCATCTATTAACAGGTGATTTAAAATTTTAACAGCCTATATGCAATAAAAATAGACACATCTGGATATTATTCTGCACTTTGCTTTATGAGGGACAGAGATCGGAGATAGATGTGTATCAGCACATACAGATCTAGCACAGTCCTTTCAGTTACTTCATAATATTCCTTGGTACAAAGCTTGCTTGTGTTGTTGTAGGAGTAGATTTCAAAAAATTGGCTTAACTGTCCTGCTTAGCAAGGTACTTCTTTTTTTTTTTTTAATTTTTATTAGTGAAACCTCATGAGGTACAGTTGTAGACGTACAAATTTTTGTGCTTGGGTTTCAGTTATACAATGATCCAGTACCCATCCCTCCACCAGTGCCCATTCTCCATCATTTACATTTTTTTAAAAAATTTTTGTTAGTGAAACACCATGAGGTACAGTTGTAGACTTACAGTTTTTTGTGCTTGGGTTTCAATTGTACAATGATCAAACACCCATCCCTCCACAGATGGGGAGAATTAACATTGTCAAAATGGCAATACTTCCCAAAGCACTGTACAAATTCAGTGTGATTCCTATTACAATACCCATGACATTCTTCAAAGAAATGGAGCAAACATTCCTGAAATTTATATGGAACAATAAGCCCCCACGAATAGCTAAAGCAATCCTTGGGAAAAAGAAAATGGGAGGAATCAACCTCCCTAACTTGAAACTCTAGTACAAAGCAGTAATAATAAAAACAGCATGGTACTGGAACAAAGGCAAGGTACTTCTTTAATGTTGCAATATGAATTCTGAAATTCTTTCTCTTTCTGTCTGGTCGTCAGCTTTGAAGTCTCCTCTGTCTACTGCTTTTTGACGATGTTTAGCCCTTTCGTCATGGGAGCCTTAATGCTTTGGAAGGTGAGGCGCCTTGTTCTATTAAGACACCGATTAATTCCATGTAACGTTATGTAACTTGCAGATTACTAAGTCATAGTGTCAGGTGGCATGAGTTGACTCTTCGGATACTGCTGAATGGGGGGGTAGGACCTTCCAGCCTTGACTCCAAAATACACTAATCCTTCTGCTCTATTCTGAAGTTCATTTAACTTCAGAAGAGTGGAGACCCTGTGCTTAGTCCTATCAGTGGAGGCTCAAGCCTACGAGGGTGTGCACAGCAGATCAAAAGTGCCTCACGATCAGTTTCCCGAACTGTGTTCCTTTACCCTCCAGACTCCCGTGTGTCACCTTTTCTCTTAATCCATGCTCCCAAAATTGACTGATCCATTCAACACGTCGGTGATGGCTTATCTTCAGTAACATACCAGCACCAGCTGGGAGCTGAGGAACCAAGCTATGAGCGAATTCTCAGCCATCCAGACGTTTAGTGTGTCCAGCGGACTGTGGTCCCTGTTCGTCCCCCTCTTGCTTACAGTCATTGTCCTATTCCATCTGCCATGTTTCACATCAAATATCTACTGTCTGCTAATATTGCCTCTTTCAGATTTAATGAGTCAATGAATTTCAAATCGATATAAATTTTATTACATTCCTTAAAAAATATTTTTGCAATATATGTGAATGTTATTATCAGGAATAAATTAGTTTTAAGATAAAGGCGAGGTGGAGAGGAAGTGGCTCCAAGCATTGGAGTGTGTGCTTTGGTGGGGCCCAGGGTTGCTCCCGGCACACAAGAGCCTCTCCCCGCCCCCACTGCCCAGCACCCCAGGAGTGCCTGAGGTGGGGAACAGAAAAATGAATCCAGAAGCAGGGGCAAAACAGTGAAATCATGTTTTTGTAGTAACATGATCTTTCATGATAACCATTTGAACATTTTGGTAATCATTTGAACATGCCTATTAATTACTATAATGACCAAACGGGACAAAATTATGTATTAGCTTTTATTTAGAAGTATGTTGATACTTCCTTTTGTTAAGTGTTTATGCTATAGGTACAGAATTTAAATCAGTTTTATTCTGTGTCATCGATATCACTATTTTCTATATATTTTGCGAAAAAAATATATAAGATACTTGAGAAATTAAGTTATCTCCATAAACAGATATAGCACTTATTACAGAGTTTTTCTGAAAAGATACTGAGGCATCTTTTTTTTTTCTTGTGTGCAGATTATAATCCCCTTTATTCTTGTGATGTGTGCTTTTGAAGCAGTTCAGTTAACTTCCCATTTACCATCAAAAAGGTAAGGTGACTGCTTAAAGAGCATTGGACTCATCCAATTTTAGGAAATGAGAGTAAACATTTGAGTTTATCGCTTGTGATTTTTATTAATATGCTGTGACAGAGATTGTAAATGTGAAAAAATACTTTATCTTTTTAGTCAGATTTTAGTTGTCATTAGAGGAAATTAGCAGATTAGTCTCTAATAGACAGATTGCTTTCTCAGCAATAAAATATTATTAGAATGTTACTCAAGCTAGTGAAGAGCCTCCATAGAACCAATAAAGCAGAAACATTCGATTATTGTAGTTAATGACTTGCTTGTTGTAGTTAGAACTACAAGAAAAGGAGGACAGGGGCTGAGTGGAGGCTTTGCCTGCAGGAGGCCCAAGTTTGATCCCTAGTACCACATGAGGTCTCCAGAGCACCACTGAGAGTGACCCCTGAGCACAGAGCTGGAAGTAACCCCTGGGTAGAGCCCACAGACCAAAAGCAGAAAAAAAAAATACAACAGGGGGTTGTTATTATTTTTCCCCTTTGTTTATATAAGAAAATGTGTTGCAATTACTTAGCTTCTAGACCTTCAAATTCACTGTTTTAAATGCCAAAAGTTGATGTCGGCTCTCCATTTTGGATTTTTATACATTTGACAGATGGATTGGGGAAGTATTCTGAGTCTCGTTCTTCCCCTTCCCTTTGTTGTTGCAAGTGTTGGTACTCTTGGTGGTGCTCACACACTTCTTTGCAGTACCCTGGAAGTCACCCTTGTGATGCCTTTGATCACATTCAGCCCCAAGGATCGCTCTCACCGACGTGGGCAGCTCCCAGGTTTGAAGAGGTGACTTTACAAGTGCCAGATAGGCACTCCACCACTGAACTGCGTCCCTGAGCCCCTTTTCCTGAGATCTAAGGGATTTCCCAAGCACTCAGCCTTAAGTAAGCATAAAGACAAGCTGTCAACTCTTTATTTGCTTCTGTAAGCCAATAAAATTACCTGATAAGCACAGAAGTGATAAGCCTTCTCTGAAAGACACTTGAGGTAAATGTGAAGTTTCTTAGTAGCTTTGTTATTTTTGAATCAAATTGGCATATTTGATACTGAAAGAATATTTTTAACATAAATTTGCATGCTCATCCTGATGAGTTTAAGCTAGGACTGTGTTTAGCATGTTATTATGCATATGCTAAAATTTTAAAAACAGCTTTCCACTATTGTTTAAAAATAGTACTAAATCCTATTTCTAGTTAAATTTAGTAATATTTTTTGCAGGATTTTTATATGAATTTAACATGGGAAGTATTTACACCTTGTCAATATCTCATTATTGTTGCAAACTGGTAAAATCTATCTAATTTTTACATTGTTAGTGAATGCATTTTCCTAAAAGGGATTTTAATTAAAGTTTAAATAAAAGCTGGGAATACATGGCATGAGAAGTAGAAAACTCATCAGAGTGTATGTGTGTGTGTGTGTGTGTGTGTGTGCATTAGTATATGCATGCACACAAGTATATGTGTGTGTGTGTGAGTGTATTGTCGTAGAGTAGTTCTGTTCTGAGATGAGTGCAGTGACAAACTGAACAAAGGGACAGAGCTCCCTCTCAGAGATGGGAAGTTTATACAAAGGTGCCAATGTTGAGATCTGAGAAAAGTCTTCTCTTTTGACCAGCCACTGAGATTTCCTCCACAAAGTCACACTAACCCTTCAGATCTGCATGGAAGGGTATAAAGCCATGTGCCTGATGCTCGGTAGTGTTGTCAATCAATGTTAGTAAAATTAATATTAGTGCCACTTTTGAAATTGAAAAGAAACATGTGGGACATACAAAGGCATCAGGTAGAGATGTGCACGGTATATTTGAAGGACCCTGGCCTGTGATGGGATATGCAAGCAGAAGAGCTGTAGGAAGTCAAGCTGAAGAAATAAGCAGAACCCAGATCATATGGTCCCTAGACTCTTTGAGACTGTAGTTGGTATGTCTGGAGTTTTTCTAGTTGTGACAAAAAGTCACTGAAAGGTGTCAAAGATAACCCTGTCATATAGATCATATCTTTAGGAGAACAAGATTATAAAGAGTTCAGTTAAGAGACAGTTGTAGATAAACAGTCCTAGTGGGTGGCAGGATGTGATATTGCAAGACATAATATTTATTATCAACTGAATAAAAATCCAGTTGTCCCTCTTCAAGTGTTTATCTTGAAACAAAGAAATGAAAGTTTGCCCCTATTCGTGGGGCAAACTTACAGGATCTGGGTCCTCAGAAGCTTCAAAACATCCCAGAGATAATCTTAAGACTCTAAAACTAATCTGCTATTAATAGAATTCACATCCAGAACAAGGAGAGTGATAATGTCATTTTCCTTTCACAGTCATTTGATCACCATGCATATTGAGTAGTGTGTTTCATTTAAGCTTCTTATTTGAACAATTTATGAATAAACAAGGGAATCTAGGGACACATTCAAAGAAAAGTGATGAACACACTAAAGACTCCTGAGAGTCAGTTGTGCTCTGGGGAGAGCATAATGCATAAAGGGAAAAATTGACAAATTGGACTTCATCAGAACCCTGCACAGCCTGCAGAATCCCTGCTAAGAGACCCAGAAGACAAGCTACATACCAGGGGGAAAAAATACCCGCAGTACTTGTCTGACTAATACCTAGAATATAAAGAAATACTTAAAAGTTAGCAGCATAATACAGCAATACAATTAGAAAATGGACAAAATACCAGCTTGAATCTATACAGATGGCAAAGAAGCTAATGAATGAAAAAGATGGTCAGCACTATTAGCCGTTAAGAAAATGTCTCTTAAAATCACTACGAAGTATCTTGACATAACCATCAGAATAATGAAAATGAAAAATAGTGAGGTAATCAAATGCTAGTGATGGGGTAAAGAAATTGCTTTCATACTTTGCTTAATAAGAATAAAACTATATAACGCTGAAAAAGTTCTTCTGAAATGAAGTATGTCGTGTGATTCAGCAATTGCATTCTTGGATTTCTGTCTAGAGAAATGAAGATTTGTTTTTACAAAGAAATACAGAGGTGGGCTTGCAATTCAGGCCCATGATCTCCCTTGGACATACACGGTCTCTATGTACCTGTGCTTACTTGATTTTTCCACTTTGGAGAAGCCATAGTCTCTCTTGAATAGGTATTTCTTGTCTTTTCTTTTCCCTCACATCAACCTAAATAAGTTTTATTCAATAAAAGCTATATTGCTTCACTGGAAAAAAAAAAAGGTAAGAAACATACGTAGTTGTTTATAACCCCTTTATTTATAATAATTTTAGTTTGGAGACAACCCAATCTCAGCCAGTGCTGGAAATAGTTGAGCTGAGCATGGTACATCGATGCAGCAGAATACTTATTCAGCAATAAAATGGAACAAACTGTTTATTGATACACACAGCACCTTAGATGAATCTCAGGGGAGTTAGGTTGCGTGAACAAAAGCAGTATTAAAAGGCTGCACATCCAAGCAACATGCTCGAAATGACAAAATTCTAGAAATGGGGAATAGATTGCCAGGGTTTATTGATCAGACAAGAGAGTGAGCTCTGGAGGACAGGTATCCCCCTCCTGGAGTTTCTGGGGACCCTGTGACAGTGGAAACAGCCTGACCCTTGAGAGTATGTGGGGCAGTGTCCCGAGATCTTGATCAGAAATCAAAACTGGGTTTCCTGCTTGTGAGCCATGTGCTCTAGCCCTTGGACTCCCTCTGAGCCCCGCGCCTACAGTTCTGTCAGGTCTTACACCTGGGAAAACTGAGCTAGTAGGACTTGGGATCCCTCTATGTTATTGCTTGCAATTACATGTAAATCTATAATTACTTTCAAGACATGTTAATGAAAATCATAATTCAGGTCCCTTTCAGACCGCTTAAATAAATTACTGAATAACACTGTTTCATTTCAGTTCATTCCTATAGTCTGCGGTAATGTGGAAAGGGCTTTTGTTAAAAGTAATATTTTCTGAATCAAAAATGCTAGTAGAATGTTTTCTGATAATTCTCATTTTGATTTTAAGGTATCTGTTGTATAATATGATTTTTCTTTTTTTTTTTCCCCTCCCAGTCTTTTTCTCATGGTTCTTGTCATATCGGACATTATGGCTTTGGTAAGGCATTATTTATATCAGATGTACAGTGTCAATAAGCTGGAGACACCAAATACTTAATTTAATCAAGAGAACTCTGAATGCATTTGTGTATATGGAATCTTTAGATATTGATTTATAAGTACTGACATAATTTACATCTATAAATTGCTTTTTTATGAGACATTTACAGTAAGAGTTCCCTCAAGTCAAAAGTCTTTTCATCTTATATTTTATGCCCATTTTTTCATTGGACATTATGTCTGAAATGAATCATCCATCGAAAGTTAACATGAGAGGCTAACTTTAGATTTAGGAAAATACCATTTTCTTTCTTTTTTTTTTTTTTTTTTTTTTTGCTTTTTGGGTCACACCTGGCGATGCACAGGGGTTACTCCTGGCTCTGCACTGAGGAGTTACTCCTGGCGGTGCTCAGGGGACCATATGGGATGCTGGGTATCGAACCCGGGTCGGCTGCGTGCAAGGCAAACGCCCTAACCGCGGTGCTCTCTCTCCAGCCCCAGGAAAATACCATTTTCTATCTTTTTAACTTTTCTCAGATTGGAAAAGAAAAGAAAAGAAATAAGAGGGAAGGAGGATGGGAATAGAGCTTTTTAGGTAAGAAAATATTACCAGGGAGATACCACTGAAGCAGGCTTGCTGAGCGTGGAGCTTGTGGGTAGGCCTCTTTATGCAGCGTTTCATCACAAAGAGCCTGGTTTGTTTTTTGGAGAGTATTTTTGGCTTTTTTAAGTGGGGCCACACCCGGCAATGCACAGGGGTTACTCCTGGCTTTGCACTCAGGAATTATTCCTGGTGGTACTTGGGGGACCACATGGGATGCTGGGAATCGAACCCAAGTCAGCCACATGCAAGGCAAACACCCTACCCACTAGACTGTCGCTCCAGCCCACAAAGATCCTGGTTTGTACCTGCCAGTTCCGGGGCTTCACAGCTCCCTTCATCTTTTATCTGCTAGATGGACTCCAGGGCTCGCAGACTACGACTATGACCAGTGATGCTTTCTTCCGGAGAGAGGACCTGGGTGACAATAAGTCAGCCCAGGAAAAGAGGCGGAGGGCAGTGTGGGGTGGGTCCCCTTGCAGACCTGTTAGTTGTTCTCTGTGGAGTCGGGGCCACGTTCCTGGGGCAGCACTGACCTGTGGCCGTCATAGGAGTTCCTCCAGCCTGACTCACAGGGCCCAGTGTTCAGCTGTCTCTCCTTCCACGGCTGATCTTTAATCTCTGGTCCTTGGAGGTAGAATTGGTACCATGCAGCCCCGTGCCCCCAGCCAAAAGCAGTGACAAGATGCTTCTAGGCAGCGTGATTTCCAGTGGGCCTAGAACTCAACTGGAAACAGGCCTCTGGGGAAGGTGATTCCTTCCCGCATTATATCCCAGGCTGGGGGTGACTAGGGCCCCCCACTTCCCAACTTCCCATCTAGATTTCTTTGTCATTAGATTTAGAGAAGAATTTTGGAAATTGATCATGCACAATGTTAGAACAAATCAGCTTTCAGTTTCCTCAGAACACGGCAAATAGATCAGACAGATAAATAAAAGTCAAGATCTCGCATTGGTTTGTATGGAGTTGACTTGCATAAAAGGCTGTTTCTGGGTCCAGTTGGCTCACTGGACAGGCCTGTCTTTCTCTCTGCCTCTCTGCTCCTCCCAAGCATACCCGGCTCCCCACTGTGTGGGGAACAATCCTCTCTCCCACCCGCCTTCCTTCTGAAGCTGACTTTTCTTTTTGGGGTCAAGTCTTTATCGAGACAACCTCCTCTTATGACCCTACGTCTGTGCTTCTTCCTCTACTCCCTGAGTTCCTATATTTAGGAGTGACCTTTTGAGTCATTCGCTTGATCATATACCTCCTAAAAAGCAGTTATCCACAAGATCTAACATGGTAATGAGCACATAGTGTAAGGTTCACGGACCTATCACATAGTAGTTTAAAAAACATTTTTTTGAATTTTTTTCTATGAAAGGGTTCTATTAGCTTCTTTTCACTGAGGTCTTTGGAATTGTTTAATGGCTTTGTTAAAAATATGACTTAAAATTTCTTGTTATTTGTAAATGTCAGTTTTGTGTTCACTTGATTGATTGGTGATGCTATTTCTGGCTTAATTTCGGCCTTTGCTCATTTTAGTCCAACTAAAATTTTTGGTCAGGAGCTTACCTTGGTGATTGCAGTCAGACAGTGGTTTTAAGGAATCAGAAATCCAAAATGTGTAATCCTAAATGTGTTATTTTTAGATAGTCTGAGTAGCCTTTGTTTTTGATGGAGCCATATTTTGTTTTCTTTCACAGCATTTTTTCTTCATGGTCCAGGATCATGGCAGCTGGCTTGACATTGGAACCAGGTAGAGTATATACTCACATCGAAATCGCTAAGAGTGCAGTGAAATGAAAATTACTCAACGTCTTAATATAGCAGGTGCCAATTTGATTCTTCAGGGGAGCAAAGCAAGTAGCAATTATTTTAAGCCTCTGGAAGTGAGACATATCCCTTCAGTTCTTGGCATGAACACATTAGCAAGTATTTTCTTAGGATAGCGTGGGGGGATGTATACGAGGTTTGGAGAGAATCAGACACAACAGGAAGATGCAGGGAGCTCTGCTCGGGGCTTGGCTTTTCCAGTAGAACTCAGCAATGTCTGGGTGGCCGTTTCGTCTCTCTTCTGGCCACTGCATGGCAGCTAACAGTCCGTGTCGTCATGAGATGCCTTAGACTCTTTGACAGGAGAACATTCCGTGTGTGATACCTGTAGCATTGCTATTTGAATTCCAACCTGAAGAAAAAGGCAGTGTCCTGTTTATTGTGCTGTGAAAGCCAGTGACTGACAAAAGTCGTTAAATGTCCTCTCCTTGGCAAGAAGAAAGCACAGTGGGTCTGTTGCTGTTTTATTTCCTGGAGCACTTGGAGTCAAGATACATTTTTACAGGTTGACTTTATTTCATTGAGTCAGTCCTTACTCACGGCTGCCAGGAACTGTTAGGTGGTGTGAGACTCTGCTTGACACTCTCTTCTGCCTCTGCCTCTTCGGTGGCGCACAGCTTGTGCCTTCTTGTTATTTATGTGCCAGTCTGCCTCCAGCATCTCAGCTGATCTGGGCCTCTGCCATTCCGTATGGGCTGCCACCTCAGCCCTGCTCCGTGCATCACTGGTTTATTTGCTTGTGTCCCTTCGGGAAAGTCTTGATGCCTTCTCATTCCTCTGATTCCAAACTGTGGGTCATTGTGGGCTTTCGACCAGAGCACTTGGGACCTAACTGTTTGGACGCTTCGTTTTCTCTGTGAGGTTGTTTGCAAGCGACTTCCTCTCAACTCTGTCTCTGATCTCTTGTAGTCATTGGGAATGAATAAATTACTCCATGTGAAGTATTTAGCATGGTGCCTAGCATTGAGTAAGCGTAAGGAAGTGGAGGCATCAAAATAAATAAATAAATCCTCGTTGCTGTTTCTTCTGACATCTCTCCTTTTTTCTCTAATAATTTTCTCTACTTATTATTTAACATAGGTTGGGGGACTGGAAAGATAACACCGGGGTCAAGGCACTAGCTCTCTGCATGCAGCTGACCCTGGTTCCGTCCCAGGAAGTAGCCCAAGCAGAGACCCAGGAGCAGCCCTCTAGCACCCGGGTGTGGCTGAAACCCCAAATCAAATCTGATCGACTTAGGTTGGAATTTCGTGTGGAAAATATGCTGATGCAGCATTTGTTTGCATGTGACATTTTATTCTTCATTGTGGTAAAATGGCTATAGTATCAAATTTGCCATCTTTACCCTTTTTTCTTTCTTTTTTTGCTTTTTGGGTCACACCCGGCAATGCACAGGGGTTACTCCTGGCTCTGCACTCAGGAATTACTCCTGGTGGCAGGGGACCATATGGGATGCTGGGAATCGAACCTGGGTTGGCCGCGTGCAAGGCAAACGCCCTACCCGCTGTGCTATCGCCCCAGCCCCTTTACCCTTTTTTCAAGCGTACAGTTAAGGGTCAGTAGTTTCATTCACATCCCTCGCTGTCATCGGTCTCTGTAGCTCCTCCCCTTCTAGGTCTGAAACTGAACCCCCTGGATAATAAATCCACCCCGTCTTCCCCACGGCCCTGGCAGTCACAGTATGCTTTGTCTCTCTGATTCTGATTACTTGTGGTTTTTGCTTAGCAATGAAATTGCACAGGACTGTTCGTTTGTGATTGGATAAACATCATTTACCCATAACACCATGAATTTTATTTTCTCTGATTAACTTGGATTTTATTCTTATCTGGAAATTTTCTTAAAAGTGCCAAGTTTGCTGTTATTACCAGTAAAATAACTATATAATACAGTGCATTTAAAAATACTCACGATCTCAGTTCAGTCCAGCAAATGCTTATTGATCGCCAGCCTATGTGCTCAGCAGGTTCACAGTCTTGACCTTGCAGCTTATGTCCAGGAGAACAATCAGATCCACGAATAGGCAAGCGGTGCTCTGGGACAAGTTCTGGAATAGTCTCAGGTATTATGGGGACATAAAATGGGACACCTACCTCAGCCTTAGGGACTGAAGGCTTCTTTGGAAGGGGCTGTTTGACCACAGTGAGGAATTAGGAGAGCACATTTGGTTCCAAGACCTGGGGTGAGCCCTAAATTCTGCTTGTGCGACACCTCTGTCCCCCAGAGTGACAGAGGACATGGTCACAAAAATGTTCCATTTATCAGCATCTAGAAGACACTTAAATGGCATTTAATGGCAATGTCTTTCAAACATCTTAAAATATTTTCTTTCCTTTCCCTGTTGATTTTAAAATTCACTTTTCTTCTTAAATTAAAATTGTCTTATTTGGGGGGGTGGGGGTGCACATCCAGCAGTGCTCGGGGGCCAGAAGCCAGTCTGCCTGGGTGCGGAGCTCACACAGGCAGGTCCAGCTGGGCCACAGTTTCCTTAGATGTGCCTTGGACCTCACACCCGATTCCGCAGGAGAGAATTCAGAAAACCACTGAGGTCATAATGAATCAGATTCAGAGTACGTGCACGCTGCTCCTTCTCTCCGGCAGAGACATAATGAGTATTGGGAATTGATGCTTATGTGAACGGCGACATACAAAGTCAGATACTTCAAAGTTGTTGCGTGTATCCCTTTGCCTGCTTTTAACACTCGGTCCATGTCCCGCGTGATCATTTCCAATCACTACTATCATACTGGTCCCTTCTCTGTCTTACCTACCCTCCACCCCACAGACAGTTGGGTAGTTTCCAACCATTACCCAGTCCTGCTAGCCCTGTTTTCCCTGGCCCTGGATATTAGTCTTCTACTGTGTATTTTTTTATATGCCACAATTGAAGGATCTATTTCACAGAGATTTTTTTTAAAAAATTCACTGTCACGGTACTTGAGTGGGTGCCCATAGCATCTCCATTTGTCCCAGCCCTGAGATTTTAGCATTGTAAACTTTATGCTCTCTCTGCGGATGCGGCACGCCAGCTGGATGTCCTGGGGCATGATGGTGACACACTTGGTGGGGAATTCGCAGAGGTTGGTGTCGTCAAAGAGCCCCACCAGGTAGGCCTTGCATGCCTCCTGCAGTGCCGTGACAGCTGAGCTCTGGGAGCGCAGGTCGGTCTTGAAGTCCTACGCGATCTCGCGCACCTGCCGCTGGAATGGCAGCTGACGGATCTCGAGTAACGCCACGGTGTCAGGCCGGTAGCGGTGCGGCTTCTTCATGCCACCCATGGCTGGCGCACTCTTGCAGGCCGCCTTGGTGGCCAGCTGCTTGCGGGGCGCCTTCCCACCCGTTGACTTGCATGCTGTCTGCTTAGTTTGAGCCCTCTCGTTCTTCCCAGCTCAGCTGGAGACTCCTTCAGGAGTTTCTTTTTTAATTCATTTAAATTTATTTAAACTAAAAAAATGAAAATACAAAGTCGTGCTCAGGAGTTGGTAACCTGCGGACCATCTCAAGTGCAAAGTGGCGAATTAGTGTATTCGAGAAGTGGGTGAGTAGGGAGGAGGGGCTTGTTGCTGTCCCTTTCTGGCTCTCCACACTTCCACGCTCGCTCGGAACTTCTCGTGCGACTCTGGCAACAGTGAAAGGGAGCCCTGGGCTGGCTGGGGTCAGGAGTGGCTTCCCGTAGCCGGCTTCAAGCTCAGAGTGACAGCACGCCGGCAGACGCCTTCTTGCCCAGGCGCGCAGGAGTCCGAATGCACTTGGCAGGTGTCCACATCCATTCCAGGCCCTTCTGTCAGGGCAACCGTCCTGGACCCCGGATCGGGGCTGACATGAGTGAGGCCCCTCTCTGGAGCTGCTGTGCTGCCGCCAGCAAGCCCCACGGTCACTGCACAGCAGCTGGTCACTGCTGCATCTGAAGGAAGGTGGGGATTTGGAGGGGAACAAAACATTGGCCCCGTAGGAATGAGGCTCTGCGTCCCGGTAGGAATGTTCAGAGAAGTCTCGTGTGTAAAGAGGAAAATTAGAAAGACAGGGGGAGGGGTTGGAGGCATCTCTGGGAGATTGGGGGGTTGGAGGGGTACACACGCCTCCCTGAGGCATGCAGGCTCCCACAGGCCCCACAGACACGCCTCCTGGGCCCCCATTATTATTTATGTCAGAAGACATAGTATGTCAGAAGCGGCGAGTCTCCCTGGGTGAGGACAGTCTCCGTGACATAAAGAGGAACCTCGTAGCCAGGAGACTCAGAGGCCACAGGACTCGTGGTGCCAGGATGCGGAAGCTCCGAGTGGGCCTGAGGGTCTGGGACACACTCAGGGGCAGTAGGAACCAGATGCTGTAGGCAGCCCGCAACACGTGCTCTCTGCCCCGGGCCCTTCTTACTGCCCTTCACCGCGTCCGTGCTCACCACGTGAGTGGAGGAGGTTGCTTTTGCGCTCAGGGTCTCTGGCCGGGGCCCTTTCCCCTGACTGCCGCGTTCCGTCTCTCCTGGTTTCATTCAGGGTGACTCTGACCATCGGCGCCTGCCCGCCTGCGGCACCCCTGAACCAGCCCACCCAGCTCCTGTGTCTGTTCCCCCTTCTGTCGCCTTCCGCCTCTCACCCTGAGCCCAACGGGCAGAAGGCTCCCGCAACTCCAGATCATTTCCTTTGCGTTTCTCTTCCTTACTAATCTATGCGGTTTCCCCAGAAAGCAAAGAGGGAAGGGAAGGAAGAGGTGGGGGAATGGGAGTGTGAGCAGGGGGCCCATCACTGCAGAGCGCTTTGCACCAAATCCAAGTTACACTTCTTACTGACAGGTTCTTTCTTCTCTGCTTAAAAGAAAGAAAAGGGGACAGCCCTGATAGAATATGTTCCCACTGTTCTCCAGCCAATCCCCAGGATTGTTTCTGCATGGATGTGGGAGCTCACTGTTGGGCTCTGCGTCTCCCCT